ATGTCTCCCCATGCCTCTCCCCATGTCTCCCCATGCCTCTCCCCATGTCTCCCCATGCCTCTCCCCATGTCTCCCCATGCCTCTCCCCATGTCTCCCCATGCCTCTCCCCATGCTCCCCATGCATGCATGTCTCCAGCACGTGCAGGACCCGCAGGGGGTGACTTTTGAAGCGCCTCAAAATTCGTTCAATGTGCTCTGTGCCGTGCCGTGCTCCCCATGTGCTCCCCATGTCTCCCCGTGCCTCTCCCAGGCTCCAACCTACTGCCCAACATACGCCAGCATGTGCAGGACCCGCGGGGGGTGACCGTCTTTGGCCCGTGGGCAGCGAGAGAGGACATCAAGCCACGCTGGTGGGTCAGCAGAAGCAACAACGTGCGTGGCATAGCCTTCGAGGAGGAAGCTTCCAGGTGGGTTTTGAGTCGACTCAAAAACAGGCTTCCAGGGTTTTGAGTCGACTCATAACACACTTGCAGGGTGCGCGGCGGGGGGTGACCGTTTTTGGCCCGTGGGCAGCGAGAGAGGACATTAAGCCGCGCTGGTGGGTACGCCGTAGCAACAACGTGCGTGGCATAGCCTTCGAGGAGGAAGCTTCCAGGTGGGTGGCGCTTCAGGAGGAATATTCCAAGTGGGTGGTGCTTTAGCAGCCTGTCGCTCACCTCATGTCGCTCACCTCGTTTCAGACCCACAGCACTCTGAACTGAACTGCGTTGAATCATGATCGAACAACTACTTCACACCATTGCACACAATTCCAACACAAAGTGACCAAACACTACCTTAGGATGGAACAAAGATTGACAAGGCGGTGAAAATGCCAGCCTCTTAAAGCTCAAGGCCCAAATTGCACAAGGTTAGTAATCTTGCGCAAGGGTTTGGGCTGGTCAAGAAAGTATTGGAAGGGTGGGGTTGACGTATTTCGCACAAGCTCTCGCGACACTCGCTGAGTCAGCAAACCCCAAGGCAATCAGTCTGTTTGGTTCCGAAGAGTCCCAAATTGAGAAATACTGAAAGTTGAAGTTTCTGCAGTGAGATTGGCCTCGACCAATCAGATTCATTCGCACCTACCGTAACCCAACATTCGTCAAAACACACAACCAAAACCACAGCCGAGCAAGATTAGTAATCTTGCCCAGCGCGGCCCGCAATTTGGGCCTTGAGCTTTAAGAGGCAGTGAGATTGCCAGCCTCTATCCCCTCTATAATATCAAGAAATTATCTTCGTCTGACTTCAAGCACAGCAAGCCTCTCCTTCAGATAGAATGTGCCTAATCTAAACCCTTTGTGCTACCCTCCTATTGGTTTTCCTTCTATGTTTTTTTTATTTCTTTCTTTCTTTCTTTTTCCCATGTCAGGCTGCTGCCACTAGAAGGATTTGAGAGTTTTGTGCCAATGACTTCTCTAACGCTTCCTCGTCCTGACTTGTCACCTGACAGCACACATTACTCGTGGATAGTTACACTCGCCATGTTGGATATTTGGTTCACCACCGCTTGCTTAGAAACATAATAACATATTTCCATTAATGCCCCTGCACAATAACCCCTCAAATACACAGCCACAGGTGTCTCAAAACGCTCTAGGGATAGGGGTATGGGTGTTTTGGGAATGCTGTATACAAATATTACGTGTGTTTCATATAAATAAAAATAGAACTAAGACTGCAACAGCTGGTGAAGGCTGCGACAATTCCGATTCCGTAAGGGCATTCGCCTGCGACTGTGGCGAAGCCTAGTAGGCGAGGCGAGGAGAAAGGCGACATTCCTCCTACAATTCTCGGTCGGGCTTCGATTTGTTATTCGCCTGACCCATTTGTAATCCCGAATCTCCAGTGTATCCGCGCCGCATCCGGGCATGAGGCGATCGTTGCAGGCATCCGCGGTCAGCGAGCTACCTCCTCCGCTTCCCCTGCCAGCAGCAGAAGCGAGACGGAGACACAAATCGCGCGACGCGATGACGACGTGCATGAGAGGCGGGAGGCGCGGCGACGCAAAGAACCGCATGCGCCCTTCTGGATTCTTGCGCAACAAGGAACTACCAAAATCGGCTCTTCACGTCCTTACGTGCTTGACTTCAGTCGGCCTCTATGAAAAGGTCTGAAGCTGAGGGCGACGATACTCTGATACTCGGATACGGCTTCCTCAGGTTAATCTTCTAAGAACCGAAGTAGCTGATACACCAAACGTTTTTTTATTCCTGACCCCATATTTCCCGTGACCCGCAACCCCTTATCAACAACGATGCTCGCTTCCGTGTTTAACCGCCGCTCTCTCCGCAACTCGTGCGCGTGGCTGCGCCCCGTGGCGACAGCTCTTTCCCTCCAACCTTCCATGCTAGCTCCTAGTATCGGGCCTGATGGTCTCCAACATTCCATGCCCGTGCCTACGCCAGGCAACGGGCCTTATGGGTTGCGACACGCGAGCGAGAGTATTACTAGGGTCGATGCGGCGCGCGGTACGCGCTCCCGTTTGTATCACAAGAACGTGGTGGATCATTACAATCACCCGCGCAACGTGGGCGCGTTCGACAAGCGCGATCCAGATGTCGGCACGGGATTGGTGGGCGCGCCGGCGTGCGGCGACGTGATGAAGCTGCAGATTAAGGTGGACGCGGAGGGGCGGATCGTCGACTCGTGCTTTAAGACCTTCGGATGCGGCTCCGCTATTGCGTCATCGTCCCTAGGCAAGCCGGTGTAAATTGTAACAATCCCACACTGGCCCTCTTTTTCTCTTAAAAAGTACAGCAGCACTTTCTCTGATCGCTCATGTTGCTGTGATGAGGGTGTTTTAAGGTGCTAGCCGCCCGGTAGCAGCACTGTGGCACATGGCAGTCGCGGCCTTGGCTACTGGCAAGAATTGTTGACTGTTTCTTTGCTCGTTTGAATCTCTCCGCCTCTTTCCATGGCAGCCACGGAGTGGGTGAAGGGAAAGCATGTCGACTCAGTGCTCGAGATCACCAACAGGTGAGCATGTTCTCATGTAGCATGTTTCCTCGCTTTCCGCTCCCCGCTTATCGCTCCCTGCTCACTGCCTTGGGCTCCCCGCTCACTGGCTCTCTGAGGAGTGCCAGAGGGCTATCAGGGTACTAGATGCCATGTGTGTACCACGTCTGCTGGTGCGTGCGTTACCCCAGAGACGATTCGTTCGTTCCAGTACCCCTCTGTTGTCCAATCCTTGATTCCTCTCACCTGCCATCCTCTTTGTTTCCTCCCCGCAGGGACATTGCGAGGCACCTGTCACTGCCCCCTGTGAAGCTGCACTGCAGCATGCTGGCAGAAGATGCGATCAAGGCTGCCGTGCATGATATCAAAGCCAAGAGGCAGCAGCAGTAGAGACAGCAGCAGTAGGGGCGGCACAAGCAGAGTCTGTGGCATCTCTCTCCCCACCTGCCCTGCGAAGCTGTACTGCATCATGCTGGCTGATATGCAATTGTGACAGCTGTGGATTGTCTCAAGGTGAAGAGGCAGCAGGAGCGGGAGCAGGGAGGGAACATTCCAACTCATGAAGCAGCAGTAAAGGCAGTAGATGCGGTGACGGATGGAGTAACAAGGCAGGAATGCTGTTGAAGTGTTAGCAGCAACAAGCTGTGTTTCTGGTCATTGAAGGTTTGAAGAATCTCTGGCGAAACTCAGTTGCTTTCCAATCATATTGATGTACGAGGTGTATATTTTCTACATATTGAGTGTAAGCTTTTATGATAGCGTACTGCTGCAAGTTTGCCACCACTAACTCCTCTTAGTCTTCACAAGAATTGATTGTGCAACGCTGTTGTTGTGTTATTGTATTGAACATTGGATCTAGCCCAGGAAAGGGTTGCAGAGGAAAGAGATGTTGTGGCGGTGCCTTTGACTGCACAACGGGGTCATTTGTATAAGAGCGAGCTCACCATAGAACGTTGCAATGGGTTTACATATGGCTACAACAAGCCACATGGTATGGTACCTACATCTCCTTTACCTAACCTAACAAGGGCAGGAACACCCGCCTATGCAAGACATCACCAAGAATTCGCTTCCTGACTGCTCTCCACACTGCAAAACGAACCACTCTCACCACCCAACCTCCTCCTCTCTCTCCCCTTCTCACTGCGTCCCAACCTTCCCACCTCCCTCCCTCCCTTCACCCTCCCAACCTTCACCCCATCCCCTCCACTCAGCCTCCTCTTCCTCCGCCGCCTATACGCACGCATCACATGCGGCAGGCCCCATGTTGCCACCACATCCCCCTCTATCTCATCCGCAGGACTGTCCCCCTTCTCACTCCCCTGCCCCACACGTCTCAATCCCTCCTCCCCCTCCCCTACACCTTCCTCTTGAAGCACCCCCACACCGCCCCCAGCCTTGCCTGTTTCTGCACCCTCCTTTCCCTCCCTTTCCGCATTAACCCCATCGGGTTTTGTAACAAACACCCCTCCTCCTCCATTGGAAGCTGGCAACAACTCCTCCTCATCGGCATCGCCCTCTTGCTCATCCCTCGCATCCTCTTCCCCTTCACCCGTCTCCTCATCCCCCGTATCCCCATCACCCATCCGCATATCACTGGCTCCCACAGAACCACTTCTCACCGCACCATCACAGCCCACATCACCATCACTGTCCCCCATACTTCCATTCCCCATGTCCTCACGCCGTTCCCTCTCTTCCATCCCATTCCCAACTCCCACTCACTGCACCCACGCCCATCGCACTGCCATCAACCCTCACAGCAGCAACCACAGGCACAGCCGCAGCTCCATCCCTTTTCAACCCACAGCTCCCATCATTCCCCCCCCTGCCAGACTCATCCCCTTCAGAAGCTTGCCCACCCACCAGCAGCAGGGCAGGATTTGGAGTCTCTGATCCCTCTGGCATGCCTTCAAACGATGAAGTTTCTGTTCCCATTCCACCTTGGCATGTGACTCTCTTTCCCTCCCTCTGCCTCCCTTCCTCGCCGCCACCATTACCATCAGCATTCTTGTCTGGTTTACCTCCCTCTGTCGCCCCAGGGGCTGCTGCAGCTGGAGAATTATTCACACAAGCTGCCCGCTCCTGCTTCCGCAAAGGTGACGACGCCTGCTCCTGCTGCTGCTCCTGTTGCTGCTTCTGCTCCTGCTCCTGCTCCTGCTTCTGTCGCTGCTCCTGTGCTGGCATCATCCCCAGCTGCTGCTGCTGCTGCTGCTGCTGCTGCTGCTGCATCACGGCCAGCACTTGTGACGATGAAAGCAGCTGAGTGGGGGGCAGCTCCTGTGTTTGCAGCGCCCTCTGTGACTCTGCCTGTGACGGCTGCTGTGACGGCTGCTGCTGGGATGGCTGCTGGGATGGCTGCTGGGACGGCTGCTGGGACGGCTGTTGGGACGGCTGCTGTGAGGGCAGCTGGGACGGCTGTGTCGGCTGCTGGGATGCACCAGGCACTTGTGACTGTGACTGCAGTTGAGAAGGGTTTGGGGTTTGTGAGGCACCAGCAGTGGGTGGTGATACTAATGGCCCTTGCGACTCGTACTGACTTTGTGACTGGAACTGCCCTTTTGACTGCTCTGGCGCTGGTGACTGCTCTGGCCCTTGGGACTGAACCTGCCCCTGTGACTGAGCCTGTGACAGCAGTTGAGTCGCCACCTGTGTCTGTGTGTCTGCATGTGCTGCTGCTACACCTCTGTGCATTCCTGCATTACCTTGCGTTTCCGTTTCCGTTTCCGTTTCTGTCTCTGATTCTAGTCGTGCTCTTAGGTTGACACCAGCATCACCCTTCCCAGGGCTCCTTCCCATTCTCTTCCCCACAGCACCTGCCACCTCCCCCTCCTCTCCGTGCCCAGCTGCTCCGTCCCTTTCCAACCCCTCCTCCCCCTCTTCCCCCTCCTCCCCCTCCGCGCCCTCCCCCGTCTCCTTCTCTCCCCATACCATGAACCCCTCTTCCATCACCCCTCCTTGACCAGGCGACTCACAAGTCTCGTCCAGCATCCCTCCTGAGAACCCCTCCAGCATTCTTCCGCGCCCCCCACTGTACTCCTGCGTCTCTGCTTCCATCAGCTCCTCCAGCCGTTCATCCAACGGCCCACATTCTCTGTTCAGCTCATCAAACCGACCATCCAACGGTTCCTCACCAGAGCCCAACCGATCCTCCAAAGAACACTCCTCCGCCTCATCATTTCCTCCTTCCCCTTCCTCCTCTCGCTCCTCCCTTCCCCCATCACCCCCCACACCATCACCTAATCCCCTCCCACCTTCTTCCGTCCCTCTCATCCCCGCTCGTCTCTCATTATTCCCGTCCCCCTCATCCCCCCTAAAGAGCTCCCTTCGTACAAGCAACAAGCCCTCCCTTTCCCCAACCCTCTCCTCCGCCCTTCCACTCACACTCTCCTGTGCGACACCACGTTCCTCAGCTTCCACACGAGGCACCTCACCTTCAATAGGGCACGTATCACCTCCCCCAACCACTCCAAGTTCAACCACCCCTCCCTCCACCGGTCTGTCTCCCATTTCAGCTTCTTGAGTCATCTCCTCATCCTCCTCCTCCCCTCCCTCCTGCTTCCCCTCCGCCCCTTCCAACCCATCGCTCTCCCTCCCCCCAGCCCACCCCTTCCCCTCCCCGTCCCCATCCTGCAGCACTTGAAACATGCGCGTCAGCTGCTGCTGCTGCTCCAGGTGCGCTCTCAGCATCTGCTGCTGCAGCTGCTGCTGCCGCTGCTGCTGCGGCTGCTGCTGCAGCTGTGCGCGCACCACCTGCTGCTGCAGCTGCTGCTGCGACTGCCCTAGGGCTGTCTGCTCCTCGTGTGCCTGCTCCATCTGCTCCTGAAGACATGCTATGTGGTTCGCTGTCTTCTCAAACTCCCTCCTTTGAGCGTCCCTGCTAAACGCACACAGGCAACAGGGAAAGTGAGAGGAGGACAATGATTGAGTCGACTGAAAAATCAGCTGCTGCTGCTGCGACTGCCCTAGGGCTATCTGCTCCTCATGTGCCTGCTCCATTTGCTCCTGCAGACACGCTATGTGGTTCGCTGTCTTCTCAAACTCAGGCTTCTGAGCGTCCCTGCTAAACGCACACAGGCAAAGGGGAAAGCGGGGAGGAGGTGAGGGGGGATGGTGGGGAAGAAGGTGGAGAAAGGAGAGGGAGGGGATGAGAGCGGAGACAGACGAGGTCGTGGAGAAGCGGACGGGACGGGCAAGACAAGTAAGTGGGCAAGGCAGCATTGATGAGCAGTGAAAGCCTGCAGATGACAGCAACATCTGCTTGGAATGGAACAGACACGAGACTGATGCCACTGTGCCCGCGCACATGTTGCATACACACACAGTTCGTACCGCAGCATGATGCGCTCCCTGGCGCCCTGCAGCCGCCTCTGCTCCACCGACAGCTGTGTCTTCGCCTTCCGAAGCTCCCCCGCCAAGCCACAGGCTCGGGCCTCCGAAGCTGCCAGCAAGGCCTGGAAGAGGCTCGGAGTAAACAACCACAGGAGCACACAGTAAAACATTGAGCAAAAGATCAGCACACGCTTGACTTGATGTGAAGGAGAGTGAACGGAAGCGGTGGAAGAAGAAGCATGTGTGACAGTACTGAAGGACGTAACACAGGTGGCGCACCACACCTGCAGCTGAGCCGCTTCCGCCTCCTTCCCCGCAAGAGTCCCCTCCACGGCAGCCACTCGCTGCTGCAGCTGCCCTGCTCGCGCCCTCTCCTCCTCCAATAGCCCCTCCGCCCTCCTCGCCCTCTCATGCCCCGCCACCACTGCTGCCCGCTCGCCCTCCTGCCATGCGGCATGTGTGTGCATGGGACGAGAAAGAGGCCAAGGAGGAAGAGGAGAGAGGTGAGGGGGAGAAGGCGCACAACAGGGAGAGAGGAAGTGAGGGAGGGCTGTTATGGATGGCAAGTGCGCCATGATGTGTTGACAATGTAAGTTCAGCACATTGGTACAATATGACGATGAGCACATGAACGGGACTCTCACCAGCTTGGCAGAGAGCGAGTCAATGGCTGCCTGCCTCTCCTCCTTCTTAGCCTGCAATGACAAGGAGAAGGAGAAAGGGAGAGTAGTGAGAAAGGGAGCGAGATAAAGGTGCACACACTGGCATTGACGTTGGCAAGGAAAAGTGAGACGCACCAGAACAAGTGTGCACGACCAGGAGGGTAGCAACTGAATGAAGACCAGCAAGCTCGTTGGCCTTGGCATGCACGGACCGTCACACTACTCACCACGAGAGCAGCAACCCTCTCTTGAAGCTCCTTCACCGCCCTCTGCGTCCTCTCTGCAGCCACTGCTGCCTCTGCTGCTGCGGCTGCCTGCACTCGCTCCACTGCTGCTTGCCTCTCAGCCTCCATCTCCCTCCTCTCCCTCCCCCTCTCCTCCGCCTCCCTCTCCCGCTCCCTCCATGCCCTCTCCACCTCCGCTTGCAGCCTGCACAGAAGAAGAAAGATACGATTCGCACAGGATGCAAAAATGTGAGGAGGTGAGGACCCAAGGATGTGGGGGGGAAAAAGGACTACCTAAATGCTTGAATGCGATGTTGTGGAAAATCTTCAACCATGCACTCTTCATTCTTCACCCTTAACCCAACGCACCCTGCTTTTGCAGCTTCGGCCTCGGCCCGTGCCTTCCTCTCCACGACCAATCGCTTGCCGACACCTGTCAGCTCCTCCTGCAGCCGCACCACCTCCCCCTCCGCCTGCTCCTGCCTCCTGGCTGCCGCGTCCCTCTCCCTCTGCGCCTCCTGCACGCGCCCCTCCCACTCCTGCTGCACCTCCATCCGCGCACTCACCACAACCTGACGTATGGATAGGAAGGAACAATGAAAGCACCATCAAAAGATCAGCCATTGAGCCTCGAATGACACTAGAAGAATCCTAGAAGGATATTCGCCATCTTGACCCCACACACTCATTTTCCCCCTCTAATCACCTCCCTCACACACTCACCTCCTCATGCCGTCGCTCCTCCTGCTGTCGCTGACTCAGCATCTCATCCATCCGAGCAGCCTCTGCATCCAGCTGCTGCCGGAGCTCCTCATTGGCCCGCCGCAGCTGCTTCATCTCCTCCAAAATCGCCACGTCAGCAGCAGGCAGTGCCACCTCAGCAGGCGAACCCGCGCCAGTAGCAGCAGCAGCAGAAGCAACGGCAGCACCCGGGAGAGCAATAGGAGTGACTGGAGCAAGGGCAGCCCTGCCACTGCCAGGCGTTGATGCCCCAGAACGGGCAGTAGCCAATTCGACTGCACCAGCAGCACTATCAGGGGAGACCGAGCCCTGAAGCCCCCCCTTCGACCCTCGTCTTCGCTTTGGGACCCTACCTGCTGCCACCCCTCCCTCGTCTGGACCCACTACTACGTCCTCTGCTCCCAACCCCGACCCTGGGAGCGGTGGGGGAGAGCGCGTGGACAGTCGGCGCGCTGCTGCTGGCGAGGAACGCGGAGGAGGAGGCAGCATCTGGCCTTTCACGGAAGGGGAACCTAACCCCACAGGGGGGGCGTGAGTGGTGTCCGCCCCACGGCTTGCATCTAACACCATTGGGCTTGCACTAGGGCTCAAGGCCTGAGCCTTCCGCTTCACCAGCACTGTCGCCGTGTCTGCTCCGGCTGTGCCCTCTCCTTGCTCTTTCTTCACACTCACTCCGCGCATGCTGCCATTGCCTGCTCCCTCTCCACCTGCTGCTATGCGCCTGCCTGTAAGTTTTCCTGCCGCAGCAGGCGAGTGCAGCCCCCTAGCAGCAGCAGCAGCAGCCGCAGCGGCCGCCGTTGGCAGCAGCGGGCGAAGCAGGTGGTAGGGGTGCTCCTTCCACGCGCAGGAAGACAAACGTGTGAGCGACCTCTGTGGCGCATGGGGACGGGGCGAACCACACACAGAGAAACAACATATGAGGCGGCTTAGAAGTCATAGTGGTGATGAGGGAAGTTAACGGAGAGGCTGGCAACAAGGCGACCACCACTGAATCACCACTGACAAGGTTACATGGGATAAACAACTGCATCAGCAGCTCCCACCACTGTATCTGCCACCGCCCACACACACACCTGTCTCTGGCGGCCCCACGAGCGACAGCACATCGCCATGCTTCAGCTGCTGGGGAGGTCCGTTTTTCTGCAGTCGATTGCCGTTGATGAACGTGCCGTTGGAGCTGGCAGGTGAGGGAGGTGATGCAGAGCGATGGGGCGAGCAAAGGAGAGAAAGTGAGTACTGCTGATGCAGCCGTGTGGGGATTCAACATATGAGCAGCAGCAATCATATGAGGAAAGTTGATTATTGCACGACAAGCAGCACGCAGCCAGTGAACTCACACACCTCCTGTCCGTCACCACAACAACAAACGCCTCCCTGCTTCCTCCATCCCTCTCAGCTCCTGCTTTTGCTTCCTCCACCCCAGCAGCCGCTTCCCCCTGCGGAGAGGCGCGTGCGTCGCCCGCCTGAGGAGGCGCAGGGGCTTCCCCAGCGGAAGGGGGAGGCGGGGGGAGGCAGGAGATGGTGCAGTGGCGCGCGGAGACGGAGGGGCTGGCGAACTGGAAGGGCGGAGGCACGAGGCGGCCCAGCAGCGTGTCGCGATTCACCAGCGGGATGAGCGGGCCCTGCACGCGGGTGCATGGATGGTCCAAGGTGACTTTTAAGTCGACTCAAGATTCACTAGCGGGATGAGCGGGCCCTGCACGCGGGGGCATGGATGATCCATGGAAGACCTAGACTCAGCCTGGGACGACGAAAAGGCTACAGCTTTTTGGATTAAAAAAACGGCATGCTGCGGCAAATTGCGCGATGAGTGCGGGGCGATGGATGCAGGTGAACGATGCTGAAAAGTCTTCCATGTGGTGACTGGCGTACCTTCGGTCGTTGCTTCGCGTTCGCGTTGATACCGTGGAGGACACCCCACTGCCCACGTATGTGACACTTCGGCGACGATTTCGCCAGCTCTTTCGCGAGTTCGTATGATGAGACCGGCGGCGAGGACGAGCACGACGGAACCCCCGCCGTTGGCGCTGCTGACGTGGCAGGCACCGCGGGTCCTGGCGGTACTAGTTCCGGCTCATTCGCCATCCTCGCTAACGAGTGATCAAATATATGCCTACTACCTCGCGCTGGTCCAGCTATCGACGTTGGAACGCTTACGGGTGATGCTTCTATAACCGGCGTTCTGGTTTGTCGGGGAACGTTCAGACGCGATGCTATTTTGCTGAAAGGACTTGCTTCATGAGCGTCGACCGACTGGCGTGACTGATTCGCGAAGCTATCGTCTGACGCTGACGGAAGAGAAGAGGAAGCGAACGGATGACGAGAGAAAATCGCCATGATTTACGCTAAACAGACGTTTTCGCTCTACTGGGTCCCGTGAAACAGTCCTGCGCCAAACTCGCACTCCTTTGAAATACATGGTAGGTCACTTTTAGCAATCCAAAAAAGAGGCGTCAACAAGCATCTGGGAATAGCGTCAAAGTGACGGAGAGCGAGAGGCTTCGGGGAGACGCTACACGAAGCACGCTGAAGCGTGGCTCGCACTGATGCTGAGAGGTGAGGTATGTCGAGAGCTGGGCGGGGAAAGGTTACTACTGCAATGACTCATAACTTGCGGAGGGAATGCTATTGGTTTCCTGTGAATCACAGAGCGAGGCTGGTGTCAGGCCTCGCATTCATGAAGTTCCCGAGGCGTGAAGCTAACGTCACAATCCCTTCCCGCCAATTTCTGGGTGCGGTGTGGAGAGGAGATGTACAAAATGTAATTTGAATGTAAAAAAACTGCTTTCAAAATCATCGTTTTGCATTCTTCCTAACGAGGATGCAATGCGTTTGCATGGCTTGCCACCCTCCGCCACCTGGACAAAGCAAATCTTCCCACTATCTCCAGCTTGGAAAGTTGTGCTCTCCGCCAATAAGTAAATTCCACCTCTCACCAGCTGGCCGCGAAAAATTGAACCAAGAACCACCGTGACACAATCGAGGGCAGCGACTGAGAGAATGATCAGCCACTGTGTGGGGCGAATTTTTGGGATTCCAACTTTCAAGGCAAGAAGCAAACTGCTTCACTGTCATTCCTGATCGATAATTTCGAGGTTCAGCCTACTGAAGTCAGGATTCTCAATCCTGCTTCCTGATTCCTCCTGACCTCAACTGACCTTGAGGAAGAAACAGAGACAGACCTTTCAGTATCCGAGTTTCAGGAGTTTCTCAAGTGTCAGCCATGGCTTGCACCTCGTCGACCTCCGCTCTCTCGTGCACAGCAGTTGTCGCACTGACTCCACAAAGCGCCGCGACACGGTATGCCGAAAGCGGTGCTCTGATTTCATTGGAGACATTATATTCTCGTTAGCAGCCTTCTCTTCGTGTATTGCAGGTAGTACCGCAAACACACCCACCTTTTCGTAAATCTATCGTCTATTTCCCGACCTGCAGGACCGCTGCAACTCTCAGCTGCAAGAATGCATTCGGCAGCAGCCTTCGGCTGACAAGCCGCGCGCGGGCTGCGAGGCCCCAGTCGCAGCGCCGCGTCGCGGTGGTGTCGCCGCGGGCGGTGGACATTCTGACGTGGGACGAGGCAAAGGAGGCGGTGGACAAAGACGGGTACACCATCGTGGATATCCGTGACGTCACGCAGTACGATCGCGCCAGGATTCCCGGAAGCGTTCACATTCCCGCGTTTATCCTCAACAACGACAATGACGTGGGTATGTAAATTCGTCTTCCGCGTCCCGTGCCAAGGCGTAGAATCCTGCATTCATACATTCTTAAACTCCTCCAAAGCGTTTTGATCACTCAACGGTGATACTATTGCTCGAGTTCAACGCGTTTCTCGCATTCCCTTCTCTCCGCCAGGCACGATAATTCGACGGGCGGCTCACACGAGCATGCCCGGCAATCTGTACGGGCTTGCGTTCACCAAGCCCAACCCGGACTTCATCTCCACCATCCGCTCCAAGTTCCCCTCGCCTGACGCCAAGATCCTCTTCGTCTGCCAAGAAGGCCTCCGGTAAGATGAGTACACTATGAGTATGTGTTGTGCTGCAAGTGTTTCTCAACAAAAGGCGAAGACGAGAATGAAAAAATCTCTTCTTAGTTGAAACCCCTTAGTTTACTCGAATATGAGGTACATAAAGCAAAATAAATTTCTGTCTTTTGATTTTAGCCTTAATTTTGCCACCCTCATCTGCCACTGCCCCTCAGCTCGCTCTCCGTGGCGTCGGACCTGGAGAGGCTCGGATACACCGACGTGGTCATCACGGAGGGCCTCAACAAGCTGAAGCCAGGTGAGCGCCGTTTCGCCAGAACCTAAGGATGGCAAATCAGGAATGCATTCAGAGCAGATCACACGCGCTATTAATCACTGTACCTTGTTCCGTACTGTCTGCACCATGCTTCTTCTTTGCCAAGATTTGTCTCATGCAATGTGGTTCGATCTGCTGAATGTGCCGCAGGAGTATTCCCCAAGGAGGGTCAGAGGGAGCTTCAGGAGGCAGGAAAGGGAGGGTTCGTTTCCATCCAGAAGGAGTTCTCCATCGTTCTCGGGTCTATCCTCATCTGTAAGTGACATCGCATTCGCTGCAGGGTTGTAGTTAACAATGGCAGATGACATCTTGCGGCCTTGCAGAGAGAGTGACACTGTCTTGTCGTGAGCTTAACAGTGTTGTCTTGAGTTGTCTTGTCGTGTCCATGCCCTGTTTTCCCCTTTTCTGAAGCCAAATATTCGTCTCTTCATGTGCCCTTACAGATTTACCCTCTGTTGCATGTATAGCTTGCTCTGACAACAACTCACCCCCTTTACCCTCGTCAATGCAGGCGCCATTCTCTTCCTCAAGTTCTTCCCAGAACAGGCTGAGGTCATCTTTGGCAGCCTGTAGGGTTTTCCAAGGGGTGCAGCTTGCCCTGCTCACTTTGAATTGCACTTTTGAAGATTGTGTCTATACTGTGAAGCAATGTATTATGCCTGTAGCTTGTTATCAACAGCAGTACGAAGCACCTCCACACATTCAAAAACTAAACAGGAAGGGTGCAGGCGTGATTGTGAACAAGGGATGACAAAATGCGTAAATTCATGTGTTCCAATGTCTTCGCAGGTGTACCTCCTTGGGTTATTCGAAAAAATGAAAATGTCCCTTGGTACTCGGATGAGTTGATCCAGTGTGTGTCAGAATATCAGTTGCACGGCCCAATCAGCGACGAGTAACTACAAGGGTTGAGGCAGAGCTTCTTTCGCCAAATTCGCCAATTTAACCCATACCTTGGACAACACCAGGGGGTGGATGGTGTGAGCCCCAGATCTGAAACGCGGCTGCTTGCATACAATCCGTATCCACGGCCAGGATTCACTTCGCTCCTAGTGGTTAGAACCATGGCTTCAAATTCGAGTCATTGGGCTTGCCGCGTTCCAAACTGACACGATGACTCTGCGACTCCAGATCAGACGACAATCGACGGTTCCTATGTCACGGGGTCCAACGTTCACCAGCGAAATCCCGCAGCTCCCGCCTTTGTCAACGGAATCTCGCTGAAAAAAGTCGGTGTTGTTCGTCTAGCGCAGCCGCTGAGGTGAACGGAGGGGACAAGCGAACAGCGTAAACTCAGCAATATTTTTCGCTTCACTGACCGGCAGAAATTCGTGTGCCACGCGGACGATTTTCAACCAGCCACCGAAGTGGTATCCCATTTCTCCCTGTCAAGGACGAAAACTGGCCTGACCGGAACCAAACATTCGCATCCGGTTTAAGCTGTAGACCAATGCGGAACTGGGTAGGGTTGCCGTGACCAAACATGCAAAAGTCCGAACCTACGGCTGCGATCTGACTTGACAAAAACGTTTCAGACAATCCAATGATTCCGAACGGTAGATCTCGTATGGTGTGCGAGAACACAAGAGGGTTGTTGTGAGGAAAGGAAAGGAGATTCAGTTGGTGACCCCTCCGCCTCGTTCCAGCGTCACCTTCGTCTCTCGCCTCATTCTCGCCTGAGCCTCGGATTTCACAGCGTTTTCGCCTCTTGCTCTCATTTTCACACGCTCAGCTTCTTCTGCTCGCTTTCTTAGAGATGCTGCGACTGCGAAAAGGAGAGCCGCTAGCGAAGCTCATTTTCACCACAAGCTTGGGCATTCTGCTTCAGGTCTGGACTTCTTGTAGGAGCTTTGTTTACGGGAAGAGAAGATCGGGTGTTGGCGCCATGAGACCAAGGACGAACAAGTGCGGAGATGGCGATTTCTTTAGAGTAAGGTAAATTTGAGTGCGGGTGTTTTTTTTTATACGTATTCGAGCCTTACCTGGTAGATATAAGTGCGTGTTATTTGGATTCGTTTTAGCACACACAATACTGTTCAGTGGCGCGTCTGACGCAACCGTCGGACGTGGTTGCATGTTGCAGGTTCGTTGCGAGGCGACATGTCGCGCGAACCACCAACGCCACCTGGCAATCCGTGCGTTTTCGGCGAGTTCGAGCGATTTTTGGGAGGACGTCTGATTTCGGCGTTCAGATTCGTACCTCCTCCGTCTGCTCAGGTATTTCCGAAAGCCTCACCCATTTCGCAGAGAGTCAATTTCGCGAATCGATTTCGCGGATGATTTGTAAATCTACGTCCGAATTCGTATTTCCGTGCCGCGTTTCAATATTGGGGAACTTACTCCCCGATCGACCACGCACATGATTGTCGCGTTTCAGTTCCCGTTTCAATCTCGCTACTAGATTCCGAATTTTAGATTCGCGATCTAAGTTTGCAGATTGATTTCGTATGACCATGCGTTTCGCGAGCTAATTCACAGGCCGCGCCTTTCCACCCACTACAGGCCGCGAGCCACGCCGTTCCCACCCCTTCGGACGGGTGCCACGCTGATGGGTGCCTAAAGCAGTCTCTCGCAGCCTGCGATTTCGGGCCCACTCTCTGCCATCACACGCGGCACTCTCGACGGCTCCCACCCCAAGCTGAGTCCTCACCTCACACCCCCTGCCTGAAACCTGCCTGGAACCTTGACTGCCTGAAACCTTGACTGCCTGAAACCTTGACTGCCTGAAACCTTGCCTGCCTGAAACCTTGACTGCCTGAAACCTTGACTGCTCGAAACGTTGACTGCCTGAAACGTTGACTGCCTGAAACGTTGACTGCCTGAAACGTTGACTGCCTGAAACGTTGACTGCCTGAAACGTTGACTGCCTGAAACCTTGACTGCCTGAAACCTTGACTGCCTGATACCCACATCACGCACACACAACCAATTTCGACTCTCACTTATCACACCCACCCACTTCCTGCTTCTGAAATCAATTCATTCTTCCACGCCCCCCACTTCTTCTCCTCCCTCCCCTTCCTGCCCGCCCTCACCACTCTTCCTGTCAGGCCAGCGCATCGGGAGCAGCAAGGAGGGGAGGGCAGCAGGCGAGGGGAGCGCCAAGGCGGGCAGCGGGGCAGCAGCGCCGGCCTCATCAACGGTCGAGGTTGCAGTATCGCCCGCCACCACAGTCCACATGAGCCCGCTCCCCCCTGGTTCAGGTTCAGGTTCAGGTTCAGGTGCAGGTGCAGGTTCAGGTTCAGGTTCAGGTGCAGGTTCAGGTTGGTAGCGGCTCTTGTGGGGCTGTGGGCGGCATCACATGCACCGTCGTTTTTGCACTCGCACTGTTGCCATGCGCTCTTCTCACTTTCAACGGCCACTCCCTCCCGCTTGCCACGCACTAACCCTCTCTCCCCCCTCCTCTGCCTCGCAGGTCCATTCTTTCAACCACCCTCGCCGCGCCCACTCTGCATCAACGCACCCCCTCCGCCTGCACCACCACTGCTCCAACTCTCAGCTAAGTCCTTCGCCTCCTTCAGCCTTGCCTCTCAAGTGCTTTCGGTTGATTTCAGTTCTGCTTCCTCATTCATTCTTTCCATTCTGTCAAATCTCGCCGCTGGTTGGGGCGCGACCCGCAAGCCACAGACCTCCCTTTTCTTATTCCAGGTAAACCCCTCAGGTTCAGGTTCAGGTTCAGCCCACTACAGCCTTACAGCCGGTCAGGTCCCCTTGGGGGTCTGTGCCTTGTGCTCGTGCCTCAACCAGTGGCCCCTCCTTCTCATTTTCCTTGCATGTTCTGCTCTTGCACTTTCACCCTTCGCCCCCTAGCTGCCTACTCACCAGCTCTGCGTGTGTGCCTTGCAGGTGGGGGGGAGGGGCGTGGGGGTCAGCACCGCCATCTCTCACGCCTCTCCCCGGTGGCCGTGCAAGGAAGGCTGGGAGGAGAGCTGCCCGGGAAGGAGTCACCTGGTGCTGCAGCAGCTGCCCTGTGCTCGCTCTCACGCCTTACAGCTAAGTTCCCTCAACCCCTTGCCTGCCTCGCCATGTCTTGTGTACTTTGCTTGCATCTCGTGTTTGCACGTGCTTTCGCACCTTCCTCTTGAAACAGCGCCACTGGTTGGGACCGGCTCACATGCTGCAGACCCCCTTACTTCAGGTAACCCTCTCAGGTGCAGGTACCCCCTCAGGTGCAGGTGTGCAGGTACCCCCTCAGGTGCAGCCCTTGGGTCTGCAGTTTGTGACTTGGCCTCCACCAGTGGCCCCTCCCCTCTCCCGCCTTGCAAATGCCGTTCCCTCTCTTGCACTTTCACCATTCATCCCCTCGCTGCCCACTGACCAGCTCTGCGTGTGTGCCTTGCAGGTGGAGGGGAGGGGCGGGGGTCAACACCGACGCTTCCCCACGCCCCTCCCCTGTGGCCGTGCAGGTACCCGTGGGGATGGGAGGGAGGCAGCACTGCCAATCGCTGCCACAAGGGAGAGTATCGGGGTGGGCTTGGCCTCTCAAGGTACGTCACCTCCCCTCTTGCCCTCATCCCATTACCTTTCTGCTCTTCATTTCTGCCTTGTTGTTTTTGTCAAATCCAGTTTTTTTTGTCCTGCTCATGCCAACTCACTTGCTTTTTCTCCCCCTCTTTCTTCTGCTCCCACCAGGTTACTTGGCATGGAGTGAAGACTGTAGCAGAGGAAGCTGAGTAGCAGACCGGCAGCAGCAGTTGCAGCAGCAGAAGCAGTGGGGGTTGGGGTGTAGGTGGCAGACTAGGTTAGGTCGAGTCATGAGCAAGGTATGGTATCAGGTGAGGTATGGTATCAGGTGAGGTATGGTAACAGGTGTGTTGTCTGATTCCCTCCACTCTCTTTCTCCCCCCCTCCCCTTCTAGCAGCCTGAAGGAGGGAGGGAGCACTGGAGCAGGGCAGGACAGAGGCATTCCTTCTCTAATTCCCCCCCTCCTCTCTCTCCCTCCTCCTCCCACTACCCAGCAGCCTGAGGCATCATGGCGCTGTTAATTGCTATGGTAGGTACATGTAAGGAGGCATGGGGTGAAGGGATGGGGGTGGGTGGGGAGCATGGGAGCAAGTGGTCAGCTCACTGCCTTAGGGGCAGCATCCTCTGGGGTTGTGCCTTGTGGGTCGGGGTGTGATGGGTGGAATCTGTGCGGCACGACACTCGGTGCTCAAGTAACCGATCTGGCGTTCAAGGCCTAATGGACACCGTCAGAGCCGACCGGCCGGCGGCTCTGGTTCGCGTCAGCTCTGGCTACGTCAGGGGTGGGATTTGAGTCTTGGGCTGGAAGCAATTTTCCACTACCACACCTCGCCCCACAAGGCACCGCCTCTGGGGGTGTTGTTTCCCTAAGGAAGTGCGCTGCCTGCTGCTCCTACTGCTGGCAAGTGAAGGTGAGGAGGGGCTGAAACCCCTTAGGAGGGCGAGTGGGAGAGAAGGGGCTGAAACCCCTTGGGTGGGTGAGTGGGAGAGAAGGGGCTGAAACCCCTTGGGTGGGTGAGTGGGAGAGAAGGGGCTGAAACCCCTTGGGTGGGTGAGTGGGAGAGAAGGGGCTGAAACCCCTTGGGTGGGTGAGTGGGAGAGAAGGGGCTGAAACCCCTTGGGTGGGTGAGTGGGAGAGAAGGGGCTGAAACCCCTTGGGTGGGTGAGTGGGAGAGAAGGGGCTGAAACCCCTTGGGTGGGTGAGTGGGAGAGAAGGGGCTGAAACCCCTTGGGTGGGTGAGTGGGAGAGAAGGGGCTGAGTCCCCTTGGGTGGGTGAGTGGGAGAGAAGGGGCTGAAACCCCTTGGGTGGGTGAGTGGGAGAGAAGGGGCTGAAACCCCTTGGGTGGGTGAGTGGGAGAGAAGGGGCTGAAACCCCTTGGGTGGGTGAGTGGGAGAGAAGGGGCTGAAACCCCTTGGGTGGGTGAGTGGGAGAGAAGGGGCTGAAACCCCTTGGGTGGGTGAGTGGGAGAGAAGGGGCTGAAACCCCTTGGGTGGGTGAGTGGGAGAGAAGGGGCTGAAACCCCTTGGGTGGGTGAGTGGGAGAGAAGGGGCTGAAACCCCTTGGGTGGGTGAGTGGGAGAGAAGGGGCTGAAACCCCTTGGGTGGGTGAGTGGGAGAGAAGGGGCTGAAACCCCTTGGGTGGGTGAGTGGGAGAGAAGGGGCTGAAACCCCTTGGGTGGGTGAGTGGGAGAGAAGGGGCTGAGTCCCCTTGGGTGGGTGAGTGGGAGAGAAGGGGCTGAAACCCCTTGGGTGGGTGAGTGGGAGAGAAGGGGCTGAAACCCCTTGGGTGGGTGAGTGGGAGAGAAGGGGCTGAAACCCCTTGGGTGGGTGAGTGGGAGAGAAGGGGCTGAAACCCCTTGGGTGGGTGAGTGGGAGAGAAGGGGCTGAAACCCCTTGGGTGGGTGAGTGGGAGAGAAGGGGCTGAGTCCCCTTGGGTGGGTGAGTGGGAGAGAAGGGGCTGAAACCCCTTGGGTGGGTGAGTGGGAGAGAAGGGGCTGAAACCCCTTGGGTGGGTGAGTGGGAGAGAAGGGGCTGAAACCCCTTGGGTGGGTGAGTGGGAGAGAAGGGGCTGAGTCCCCTTGGGTGGGTGAGTGGGAGAGAAGGGGCTGAAACCCCTTGGGTGGGTGAGTGGGAGAGAAGGGGCTGAAACCCCTTGGGTGGGTGAGTGGGAGAGAAGGGGCTGAAACCCCTTGGGTGGGTGAGTGGGAGAGAAGGGGCTGAAACCCCTTGGGTGGGTGAGTGGGAGAGAAGGGGCTGAGACTCCTTGGGTGGGTGAGTGGGAGAGAAGGGGCTGAAACCCCTTGGGTGGGTGAGTGGGAGAGAAGGGGCTGAAACCCCTTGGGTGGGTGAGTGGGAGAGAAGGGGCTGAAACCCCTTGGGTGGGTGAGCGGCAATGGTGGGGGCCTGAATCCGCAGGGTAAGTTCAGTGTGTAATGGTGTGGTGTGGGATGGGATTTTATGTGTGATAGTGTGGTGTGGGATACTGTGGCATGTCATATTGTGGTTTGTGATAGTGTGGTGTGTGATAGTTTGGTGTGTGATAGTGTGGTGTGTGATAGTGTGGTGTGTGATAGTGTGGTGTGTGATAGTGTGGTGTGTGATAGTGTGGTGTGTGATAGTGTGGTGTGTGATAGTGTGGTGTGTGATAGTGTGGTGTGTGATAGTGTGGTGTGTGATAGTATGGTGTGTGATAGTGTGGTGTGTGATAGTGTGGTTTGTGATAGTGTGGTGTGTGATGGTGTGGTGTGTGATGGTGTGGTGTGTGGTGTGTGATAGTGTGGCGTGTGATAGTGTGGTGTCTGATCGTGTGGTGTCTGATCGTGTGGTGTGTGATAATGTGGTGTTTGATAGTGTGGTGTGTGATAGTGTGGTGTGTGATAGTGTGGTGTGTGATAGTGTGGTGTGTGATAGTGTGGTGTGTGATAGTGTGGTATGTGGCATTACAGTCTGGCATGGAATGATGTGGTGTGTCAGAGTTTGGCGTGCCATGAATCTGATGGGCAGTGATGTGTCATGATGTCTGGCCTGTCATTGCCTGGTTGAGAGGGGGGAAGGGGAGGGGATGAATCCCCGTGGGTGGGAGAATGGGGGCTGAAGCCCCTTGGGTGAATGGGGGCTCAAGTTTGGTGGGTGTGTGGGGGGATGAAATCCCTTGGGTTTGAGAGTGGGGGCTGAAACCCCTTTGAGTGTACTGTGTGGCATGTTGCGGTGTGGCATGATACATTGGGGTCTGATACATTACGGTATGATGCAGTGTGGCATCATATGGTGTTGTATGACACAGGTGGTGTGATACAGTGTGCTACCACACGGTTTGGTGTGATGCAGTGTGGCATGATGAGGTGCAGTTTGATGTACAGTGGTATTCAGTGTGGCTTGTTCGGTACGTCTTGGTTCAGTGTCGCTTGTTTTAGTGTGGCTTTACTGCGTGACATACTGGAATCTGCCATTGTATGGCATGGTGTGGCATGTCATTTTGTGACATGGCGTGGTCTGGCATGTCATTTTGTGGCATGGCATGGTGTGGCATGTCATTTAGTGGCATGACATGGTGTGGCATGTCATTTGGTGGCATGGCATGGTGTGGCATGATATCATGCGATATGCAGCATCTGGAGGGCAGTGGAGCACATGGAAGGCAAGGAAGACAGTGTGGGATGGGAAGAGGGGAGAAGAGGGGTTAGTGAGTGGAGGTATGCCTTGCAGCAAGCATAGCTGTCTCACCGGCCATGCCCTTCCAATGCATTGCACGCGGAGGGAATAGGGGTGGAGTTGGGGAGTGGAGGTGTGCAACGTGGCACAAATGGTTGATCGCTGGATCGAGTTTAGATGCCGTTGTGCACTATGTACATATTGTGAATATACCTAGCCGCCCGAAACTGAGTTTATGCCTTTCATACAAAGAGGAGTATTTCTCTGTAAGTCATGGCTATAATTAAGGCTGCAGTTTTAGAATTGTTTGGTGGACGATAACGAAGCTTAGCTTCACCACTGGAAAAGCATGAGGTGCAAGTAAAGTTCTGCCTTAATCGCCTGTCAGTCACGCATACAGCCTGAAACAAGAGAATGAACCTGAAACATAATCTCATTAATACATTTTCACTCACTAGGTTCAGCACAGAAGCTCCAGCTCGTACTGTTTGTGTAAATACTCCCGTCATGCTTGGTTGGTAGCACATGATGAGCCATATGGCAATGATGCCACCTGTTGCACGAGAGCATGATGCTCATGCTCGGTTGGTGACACATGATGAGCCGTATGGCACTAATTCGGCCATCTCTTGAAGTTGTGGAAGTTTTTTTCTCCTGATGAGCCGTTTTTGCAATGATTCTCCTGATTCATGTACGTGAAGGTGATGAGCAGAAGGTGGTGATGAGCAGAAGCAGCACTCAGGTTCGTTGCAGGCCCGGAAGGAGCACCCGGACCTCACGCTCCTCCGTGACTGCCATCAGCTTCGGCACCAGAAGCTCGATACCGGACCTGGTGGGATTAAACACAGAAAGGAGAAGCAAGAAATGAGGAAGTGATGGTGGCATTGCACTGAACCACTTCATCCAACATTGAACAATTTCCCAAAGAGGTATTGGGTTGCTTCAATCCACTAACACACTCACCCACCCGTCTGCTAAACACACTCGCCTCGCTCCCGAGTGCACTCACCCATCTGCTGACACACTGGCTGCCACGTCAGCATTCTCTGGTATGCGCTGGGGCAGCTGCACCTCCCGTTCAAACGGGCCAACAGGGCAGTGCTCCCCCGGCCAATGGGAGCGTGACACTTGGCGGAACGTGCGGCCGGAGCGAGATACAGATGGTGGAGGGAAGATGGCAGCACAGGAGATCTGGTTCAGGTAAAAAAAGAAGGGGGGGGGAAGAGGGAAGGGGCAGGCGGAAGGGCGGGAGGGGTGGAGGGAAGTGCAAGGGGTTTGTCTCAGAAAGGCAGTTTGATTTCAGAGTTGCGAAAGGGAGCAAGGAAGGAAGGAAAGGGTAGTGGGATGTGGAGATACCATATGAAGCTGTGCATGGGTGCACTGGTGCATGGGTGCATGCAGGCATGAGGGCAAGGCCAGGTGGATGCATGGGTGCATGGGTGCTTGCCAGCACCACTTCTTTTTTGTTTTTGTTTTTAACGAGCCACCCAGCGCACCTTCACTATGCCTGCAGCACCGTCGTTGCGCCACGTGACTCGGAGACGGGAGAGGTCGCAGTGGGGCAGCGACACCAGCAGCAGGTAGGCTGCTGCGTCCTCGTATATTGTGCACATGCACGTGGGTGGACCCACAGCCTGTGATGAGGGAAAGAGAGGGAATAAATAATGAGGCGCCTTTGAATACGACACATGCTGCATCCTCGTACATCATGCGTGCGCACATGGGTGGAACCACAGCCTGCGGCCCGGGCCAGGGAGCAAGGGGGGAGCAAGGGGAGAGCAAGAGAGACACAAGTCAAAGGGCTTCAAGGCAGTAACAGATTACTGAGGAGGCAGAGAGCAAACAGTGCCATTTCGAAGGGGAAATGCCACACCTGTGCTAGTGTGCCTGATGCCCCTCCTCTCCATCCCATGGCTGCTGTGGCGAGCCCACGCCCTGGGTCCAATCCTCTGGCCACAACCCCACTTGCTCCTGCTCCCTCTCTTGATGCACCTGCTCTCTCTTCACCTCCCTCCTCCTCCCTAGCACCCACTTCCCCACCCTGCTGCCGCAGCATTCCCTCGCCCACCACCCTGCCCGCCCTTCCTACTGCTCCTAAGCTGCCTCCAGCAACACTCGCTCCGTTCCGCATACTCCCGTTTCCACTCCTCCTCCCCTCTTGCCCAGGTCTCTTTCTCCTCGCATTCACGTGCCTGCTGGGGCTAAGATTAAGGGGACTCAGATTGGGGGATGCCAGGCAGGGATCCTCATGCACACCTTCGCTATAGTCACACGCCGACGGCGACGCACCCACGCTAGTAGAGGACAGCCCCGGCTGCGTCTCAGCCTCACTTGCAGCTTCGGCGGCAGGCTCGGTCCGAGGCGTGGTGCTTGGTTCGGTTTGAGGCGCAGCATCAGGTTCGCCAGTCTATGGTGAATATCGGCTGTATGGCCCATGGGAAGTTGAGCTCCAGACACCGATGCTGCCACTCGTGCTGGTGCTGCTGATGCTGCCAATGCTGCTGCTGCAGGGAGCAGTGGTAGAGGAGCTGATGCTTGGGCTGCTGGGGGGGATGTTGTTGCTGCCAGGGAGGCTGCTGTTGCTATTGCTGTTGCTGCTAATGCTGCGGTTCGTGCTGGTGGGGCTGGCATTGATGACGGACTTGGTCTGTGGCGTCTGTGTAGATTCTGCCGTTCCTGTTGCTGCTGCCATTGCTGCTGCTGTTGCTGCTGTTGCCGCTCCCGCTGCTGCTGCTGGTTTTGCTGCTCTCGCTGCTGCTGTTCTTGCGGCTGCTGTTGTCCCTCCTGCTGAAGCTGACGCTGATGCTGATGACGACGAGTAAAACCATGTTGTTGCGCATGCTGCTGCAGTTGTTGCTGTTGCCGCTGCTGATGCTGATGCCGCTGTTGATGTGGCCACAGCTGCCGCTGTTGCTCCTGCTGCACGTGTGCTGCTGCCAAACCTCCGCACAAACCTGCTCTCATACCTGCACTCAACTCATCTGCCCCCTCTCCTGCACTGCTCGCCCAGTTCCTCTCCTCTGCAGCCACTTCAGCCTGATGACCAGCAGCAGCAGGAGCACTGTTCACTGCTGCACCCATACATTCTGCCATATCTCCTGCCGTACCTCTTGCCATACCTCCAGCCGTACCTCCTTCCGCAACCCCTGTTATACCTCCTGCCGTACGCCCTGCTATCCCTCGGCTATCGCTGGTGTCACCAGCCAAAGAAGCCAGAGCAGCAGCGGCAGCAGGTGTGGCAGCAGCATGGGAAGGCCTGGAACCAGAATCAACACGCCGCGCAACAGGGCCAACAGGCCTGCTAGCAGCATTAACGGGCACAGCAGCAGCATCGCCAGGCCTGGCAGCAGCATTAACAGGCACGGCAGCAGCATCGCCAGGCTTGGCTGTAGCAGCAGCAGGCAGCAGAGGAGCAGCAGCAGCACACATGGCTCGCTTGCTAGTGCCGCCCAGAAGCGGGTCGTGTGCCCGTCTCCGCCGGCCAGACGTGAACACAGGTGGTTGCGAGTGTTGTTATTAGTAAACAGGTGGGCTGCGGAGGTCTGATACTAATAACAACCCACAACCTCCGCAGCCCACCTGTTTACTAATAACAACATCGGCCAGACGTGAACACAGGTGGTTGCGAGTGTGCATGGCGAGATGCACCCACTTGCTCCAAGCCTCGCAGAGGGGGGGATGCGCTCATGTGCTGTCTGAGTGGGCTCGGAGGCTGCAGTGCCGAACCTCTTGACCGCACCTGCTGTCCCTCTGCCTGTGCGGACTGCACCTGCTGCCTTGCTGCACCTCTCCTGGTCCGCACAATTTCTTCCTCCGCTCCTCCACCGTTCACCTCCGCCCCACCTTGCACGCCCTCCATCCGCCCCTCCCCTTCCATCTCCACATGGTTCCCTTGCCAGCCTGCTACACCTTCCGTGTCACTCTGCTGGTGCCCCCCTGCCCTGTACTGCACGCCTTGTAGGGACAAGCCCCTAAGTGGCTGCTCGGTTAAGCTAGCCCACACTCGGCTTACAGTGGGGATGTCACACTGCTGGTGCCCACCTCCCCTGTGCTGCATGCCCTGAGGAGACAAGCTCCTGCGTGGCTGCTCGCGTAAGCCAGCCCGCACCCGACTTGCAGTGGGGATGTCTGCAAGTGGACCAGATAGGCCGCGTTGGTTCATTTTGTCAGCAGCCATATGTTGTTCGGAGTGTGCCTCTTGTGCTCCCTGCTGCGTTCCCTGCTGCGGCTGTACCGCTGCTACCTGTTGCTCCTGTGCTCCCTGCTCCTGCTGCTGCACACTCTGCTGTGGAGACTGTTGCTGACTCCCCTGCCCCTGTTGCCTTATCCGCAGCTGCTGCTGCTGCTGCTGCTGCTGCTGCTGCTGCTGCTGCTGCTGCTTCTCCTGCATCTGTCTCACCCTCCTGCCCTGCAGCCCTCCCGCCTCCAGCACACACTGCCCGCCCCCCTGCCCGCCCCCCCCCCCCCCTGCCCGCCCCCCTGCCCGCCCCCCTGCCCGCCCCCCTGCCCGCCCCCCTGCCCGCCCCCCCCCGCCCCCCTGCCCGCCCCCCTGCCCGCCCCCCTGCCCGCCCCCCTGCCCGCCCCCCTGCCCGCCCCCCTGCCCGCCCCCCCCCCCCGCCCCCCTGCCCGCCCCCCCCCCCCCCCCCCCCCGCCCCCCTGCCCGCCCCCCTGCCCGCCCCCCTGCCCGCCCCCCCGCCCCCCTGCCCGCCCCCCTGCCCGCCCCCCTGCCCGCCCCCCTGCCCGCCCCCCTGCCCGCCCCCCTGCCCGCCCCCCTGCCCGCCCCCCCCCCCCCCCCCTGCCCGCCCCCCCCGCCCCCCTGCCCGCCCCCCTGCCCGCCCCCCCCCTGCCCGCCCCCCTGCCCGCCCCCCTGCCCGCCCCCCTGCCCGCCCCCCTGCCCGCCCCCCTGCCCGCCCCCCTGCCCGCCCCCCTGCCCGCCCCCCTGCCCGCCCCCCTGCCCGCCCCCCTGCCCGCCCCCCTGCCCGCCCCCCTGCCCGCCCCCCTGCCCGCCCCCCTGCCCGCCCCCCTGCCCGCCCCCCTGCCCGCCCCCCTGCCCGCCCCCCTGCCCGCCCCCCTGCCCGCCCCCCTGCCCGCCCCCCTGCCCGCCCCCCTGCCCGCCCCCCTGCCCGCCCCCCTGCCCGCCCCCCTGCCCGCCCCCCTGCCCGCCCCCTGCCCCCCTGCCCGCCCCCCCTGCCTGCCCCCCAGCTCGCCCCCCTGCGCACCTCCCTGGGCGCCTTCCCCTGTCCCACCTCCCTCCCCTGTCTCCCCTGTCCCCTCAGCAACCACTGGCACTGCTGCCTCTGCAGCAGCAGCATCGGCTGTTCCTTCACGTGCCGCCAAATCACCCTGCTCCACTTGCCCTACTGTCTCCTGCTGCTGCACTGCTGCCCCTGCTGCTCCTGCTGCCCCTGCTGCTCCTGCTGCCCCTGCTGCTCCTGCTGCCCCTGCTGCTCCTGCTGCCCCTGCTGCTCCTGCTGCCCCTGCTGCTCCTGCTGCTCCTGCTGCTCCACCTTCCACTGCGTCTGTTGCGGTTGGTGCAGCTGCTGCTGCGGTTACGGCTCCTGCTGGCTGTGCGGGTGGCGTTGCTGCTGCTGCTACCGCTGCCGCTGCCACTGCTGGTTGCGCAGGAACTCCTGAATCGAAGGGGGCGGCCGAGCCACCAGCGCACTCAGCGTTCCAAGCACCGGCGCACGTGGCAGGGCCGTGGCTTGGCAGGGTGGCAGGAGGCAGCAGGGAGCGCCAGTGCGTGTAGTCGTGTGCATGTGGGGAGAGAGAGAAGCCTAACGGTCGACCTAGCGTGAGGGAGAGCAGAGAGAAGGGTGGGGGAAAGGGAGGTTACTCCAGAGGCATCCCACAACACGCAGGAGGTGGCAGGTGGCAGCAGGGAGCGCCAGAGAGTGTAGTCATGCGCGTGGGGCGAGAGAGGGAAGCCTAATGGTCGACCTGGCGTGAGGGAAAACAAAGAGTAGTGTGGTAGAAAGGGAGGTGTGACCTGAGGCAAACCACAACACGCAGGTGGCAGGTGGCAGCAGGGAGCGCCAGAGCGTGTAGTCATGCGCGTGGGGCGAGAGAGAGAAGCCCAGCAATTGACCTGGCGCGGGGAGATCAGATTAGAGAGCAGGGTGGGGGACAGGGAGGTTACTTGTGAGGCATCCCACAACACGCAGGTGGCAGCAGGGAGCGCCAGAGCGTGTAGTCATGCGCGTGGGGGGAGAGAGCAAAGCCCAGTGGTCGACCTGGCGTGAGGGAGAGCAGAGAGAAGGGTGAGGCGAGAAAGGGTGCTGGGATAACCTTTGAGACGTTTCACCCTGTGTGCGACACCTGACAGCCACCCACTCACCAGTGATCTCCTCCCAGCGCGTGCGGGAGTGGGGCGGCACAGCAGAGAGGTCAGGTCAGGGGACGGGCGCTATCCCGTGGATGCAGAGGGGGTTGGCCAGGCCCTTGTAGCGCCGCCGCTGCAGACGGTGTGATCGCACGAAGCCGGCCTTCTCGGGGAAGGGGAAGCATGGCTCATCCACCCTGTTGGGGCATGGTGCGAAGGGAGGTGAGAGGCGAATGGGTGAAACGGGGAGGTGAGTGGGGGAAGGTGAGAGGCATGCTGCAGGCGGTGTGATCGCAGGAAGCCGGCTTACTCAGGGAAGGGGAAGCACGGCTCGTCCACCCTGTTGTGTTGAGGCATGATGAGGAGGAAGGGACGGGAGAGAGGGAGTGCACGGCATGCGGTGAGGGAGAGTCATATAGTGGAAGGGGGAGGAAGAAGAGGCGTGCAGTGGGAGGCAACGCATGTGGTGGAGGGGGAGGTGCAGGCACACCTGGAGTTGCCGTTGATGAATGAGCGCAGCTGCATCTTCCCCAGTGCATGCTCTGGCCGCACACTGAGCGCCCACATGTACCCATTCTCCACATCGTGCTGTACCATGAACGCCTCCTCTCCCCGCTGGTGGTGGGAGGTGGGTGTATAGGTGTTGGAGGGTGAGAAGGATGGAGTGAGGGAGGGAGGCAGTAGGGCGGGCATAGAGACACATGACGCCTCTCCACAGGCTCCAGACGCACACTGAGCGCCCACATGTACGCATTCTCCACGTCGTGCTGGACCATAAACGCCTCCTCGTCACGCTGGTTCAGGGGGTTGAAGGGGGAAGGAAGAAGGGACGGGAGGATGAAGGTTGAACAGTCATGATGGAGGAAGGTGCATGGGGAGCAATGGGCGAGGGTGGGTGCACCAAGTGGGTGGGTTAGTGTGGGCGCACCGATTGGGCGAGGGTGGAGGCGTAGTAGTGGGAGAAGAAGAAGTGAGCGCCCCACACACGGTCCTCCCGCGCACTGTACCGCCTCGGAATGTCACTGCTGCTGCGACCGCCGGTGGTGTTACCACTAGGAGCGGCGGCTGTACCAGCAGGAGCGGCATCCAGCATGCTCCCGCTGCCACTAGCGCAGCCACTGGGACCAATAGCAGCGCGACATGTCTCCACGCCCCTTGCTGCCTCTGCTGCACATGCGAGCTCGTCCCTGTCACCATCCCTTGCTGGCTCTGCTGCGGATGCACGCTCGTTCCTGCCAGTGTCTGCTTCTGTACCCAGCTCCAGTGTTGCTGCCCTCCCTGCTTCCTGCCACGCGCTGCTGCTCGAGTTCCCTGGGGCTTCAACGCCTGTCACTGCCCTTCCTGCTGCCGCTGCTGCTGCTGGCCTCACACCTATTGTTGTCGTCATTGCTGCTGCTGTTTCTTCGGCTGCTGCTGCTGTTGATCCTGCTGCTATTTCTGCTCCTGAAGCTGGTGCCGTTGTTGCCATTGCTGTTACTGGTGATGTTGCTGCAACTGGCGCTGTGCCTTCAACTGCAAGAGCGGCTGTTGCTGCTGCAGCAGCTGCAGCTACTAATGAAGTTTCACCCGCTGGTGGTGGGGGAGGGCAGGGAGCAAGGCAGGTGATGGAGCGCGGCGGATGGGTGGAGGCAGAACGAGGGGAAGGCGCAAGGCGTGGTGCTGCTGGCTGCTGCTTGTAACCACTGCCAGTACCGGTGCCGGACGCGGTAAACTGAGGCTGGTGCAACCATTGCTGCTGCGGACAGGGCTGCAGCAGCAAGTGCTGATGTTGCTGCTCCTGCTGCTGTTGCTGTGGCTGCTCTTGCGCTTGCTGCTGCACTTGCACTTGCTCCTGCTGCTGCTGCCGATGCTGTGGGCTGCCCCCCCCTGGCGGCACCACGTGGCACGTGCTGGTGGCATGAGTGCATGCGGAATTGCTCCCACCCACACCCTCCACAGCAGCCCCTGTGCCCGACCCACTCTCTCTGAGATCGCCAGATCTGGAGGGCACAGTGCGTCTGGAGGCTATAGGCCCTCTGGCGTCTCCTCTCAGTGCAGCAGGAGCAGCGGGAGCAGCAGGAGCAGGAGCAGCAGTGGTGGATGCTGGGTGGCTGTCAAGGCTGAAAATCAGCCTCGGTGCAAACCTGGTTGCCGGGGCGCCAACCGGGGCTATTTCAATGTCCAGGTTCGGTGCCGGACCTACATCCCACCAGAGCGCCATTCCGCCAATCTCTCCTCCACCATCCCCGCCACCATCCCCACCAGTACCCCCGCCAGTACCCCCGCCAGCATCAGTGCTTGCTTCCTGCCCGTCCCCCTGATCGGATCCTTGCTCCGCCTGTTGTTCTCGCCCGTTCCCCCCTTCCAACCCTTCTGCGCCCTCCGCGGACCCATTCTCCGCGTTCTCCCCTTCCGCGCCCTGGAAAGCCCTCAGAATCCCCGCACAGGCTGCCCCCAGCTCGCCGTTTCCGCCAAGCTCCCCAGCCCTACCGTGCTCTCCCGTTCCGCGCTGCTCCGCCTCCGCGCCTCTCCCATCGTCCCGTCCCCCCGCACCAATGCCGCGCTCCCCACCATCCGCACCACCAGCAGCAGCGTCAGCAGCACCAGCAGGAGCAGGAGAGTTCGCAGCCGCGTCAGTGTCATCAGTGGGATGAGCGGCATTAGCGGGGTGGTGCGCGGGGGATGCGGCGTCTAGATCGAGGTCGAGGCACATGGACATGGACATGGGGATGGGTAGTGAAAGCGGCAGGTTTATGTCCGGCGGATGCAGGTCGTATGGCAGCCGGATCATGCGCGTCGCAGCGTCACACGGCGCGTCGCACGGCGCGTCGCACGGAGCGTCGCACGGGGCGTCGAAGTTCATGTTGGGGGTTTGGAGGTCGAACGCGCTCCGCGACGGAGGGCCGGACGAATTCTCGCCGTAGTTATCAGTATTCTCATTGTTGCTGTTGCTACTGTTATTAGTTTCCGTTACTGGCGGCTGTAACGGAATCCGACCACATTGACGTGCGCTGGAAACGGGAAACTCCTGCTGGTTCTCGGACGGAAACGGCGCGGCGTTGTGGGACTGGAAAGACGAAGCAGACTGCACATTAAACGCAAGGGAGTACGGATTTACGCCGACGAACGGAGCTGCGTGCGGGGTCTGAAGCGTGGGGCACGCTTGAAGGTTAGGGAATGCTTGAAGAGTAGGGCACGGTTGAAGGGTGGGGTAGGAGTGGCGGATATCGAAGGACAGTCCGCCCGTGAGGTTCTGCGAGCACGCGTCGAAGTTCATATCAAGAATTTGCAGGTCGAACGCGTTCCGAACTGAGTCCTGGTCCTGACATGCTCCCTCCCGCCCCTGCCCCTGGCTCTGAGCCTGCTGGCCCTGTGCCTCGTCCCCCTCCTGCTGCTCCAACTCCCACTCAAGATGCATGGCGCACGGAGGGGGAACAAGACTAGCGCACTAACGGCTGGGCTGGGTAGGAAGACGAGCAACGGCCGGAAAGGAGGGAAGAGTGGAAGGAGATCGTATAGGCGCATGTCAGATTCGACGCGAAGGAAAACTCGTGTTGTGATGGCGAGCAAAAACTCCTTCGAGGGTGCCAGAGCTCAAGGGCTTGTCGTTGTGTGGTGAGCTCCTCGTACAAACCCAGGGCGCGAGGGCGCGAGAGGAGTTCTTCTAAGGCAACGAGATAGGCGGCGAGGCCCTTGGGTGAGATTCCTGCCATGTTCCGCTCACGATGTTTTCCGCTCACGATGTTCGCTCACGATGTTCGCTCACGATGTTCGCTCACGATGTTCCGCTCATAATGTTCCCTTCACAATGTGTAGCCTGAAATGGAGCTTCTCGTACAAACGTTTGCCCACGATAAGGTAGAATGTTGTAAGCGTATATTACAAAGTGAACCAAGTGAAAATAGATGTACATATATAAGAGCTCCTCAGGTCCATAATAAGATAGTCCGTTGGAGTCTTACCTGCCAGCATACAGCTGTACGTCAAACACACAGTATAGCATACACGAGCAAAACCATAGAAACGCCTCTTGAAGGAGCCAAAACCCTTGAAAGCCCGAAACTTAATGTTGAAGCAGTCTGCACTGTATGTTGCGGAGTTGCATGCTTGCATGTTAGGAGCCTCGAAATGTCTTGCTTACGCAGCTGGGAACCTGTTAGATGCTTGGAGCACCTCATACGGTACGTCACCTGTGGTCAAACAATAGCAGGTATGCACAACAATGCACACATCCTGTCCATTCCCCACTTCCCCAGGCACAGCCCCTTTCCCCCCACTCCCTGTCCCCTCACCCCAACCTCCTGGTCACCCTTTGTAGATACAATCTTCCCCATCCCACTACAACCCCCTCCCACCCCACCCCAACCCACCATCACCCTATGCGTGCTTTTTTGGTCCTGTAGCTGTGCCTGTCCGCTTTCCCTTGCCCAAATGAGCAGAGAGACACTCAGCTGGAAGGAACCTGAGGTTGTGGAATGCACTGTCTGCTGCCTGGCATGGGGAAGGGCGGGCAGGCAGGGCGGGCAGGCAGAGGCAGATGAAGGGGGATATTGGGCGGCAGACATAGAGAGGAGAGAACTCGGTGCAAAACAGTTTGGACACTAGTGCAGGTGAAAAGGCAATGTAAGATAGCAGCAAGACAGTGCAGGGATCAAACAAGGCAGGCATGTCGTGGAGTCAACTCAAGATACACGTGGGCACGTGTTGGACTCACCTTCTGTACAGTTTGGTCTGCGAATCGCAGACGGCACCCTCCGTCTGACCCCTTCTTCTCTGCTGCACTCTCCACAGGACTGCTAGCCTGCACGCTGCCAGCAACCACACCCATGCTGCTGCCAGCAACCACACCCATGCTGCTGCCAGCAACCACACCCATGCTGCTGCCAGCAACCACACCCATGCTGCTGCCAGCAACCACACCCATGCTGCTGCCAGCAACCACACCCATGCTGCTGCCAGCAACCACACCCATGCTGCTGCCAGCAACCACACCCATGCTGCTGCCAGCAACCACACCCATGCTGCTGCCAGCAACCACACCCATGCTGCTGCCAGCAACCACACCCATGCTGCTGCCAGCAACCACACCCATGCTGCTGCCAGCACCCGTGTCCTGCATTCCTGCTTCATTCCCTGGAGGGGACCCGCCAGTGACTGCTGCACTGTGAGTCGCCTGAGAGGGAGTGGTTGCAGGAGGAGGAGGAGGAGCAGCCTCGGCTGCTGTTTCCTCCCTCTTGTCACACAAGCCCTTATCCGCCCCCCTGCCAGCTGACCTCTCCACATTCTCCCTGCCCTCTGGTGTACCGTCACCGACCTCTGGTATCCCCTTGCCCCCCTCTGGTGTCTTCTCGCCACCCTCTGCTGCACCATCAGCGTCTGCCATAGTGGCGTCTCCCTTGTTTGCCACACCCACGTCTGCCGTATCTCCACCATGCTCCCCCTTTCCACTACTCGCCGCAGTCCCTTTCTGTGCAAGAGTTGCCTTGTGCCGAGCCACCATCATGGCCACAATCCAGTCAAACACCTGCACGTGAAATAAGGAACAGAATTACACATGAGAAAGCACACACATTGAGCACGGACCACATGGCGGCAAGTACCTTTCCCAATGGCGTGCAATGTCTGCATGGAGCACACGAGATAAATCGGGCAACATGAGGGCGCATTCAGCCTGGCTGACCTGCGCGAGGCGGTAGCGGGGGTGCTCCAGGGCGTTGCGAGGGCCGTAGCGCCCGGTGCCCTGGCACTCCGGGCAGAACACCTCAGTAAGTGGCAGCAGCTTCGCTCCCTCCAGGGCCTCTGCACCCTCGGGCGCTGCTGTGGCCGCTGGCAATGCTGCTCCTCCTGCTCCTGCTGACACTGCTGCCTCGGATTCTGCTTCTTTGCCTGGCACGGCTTTCCTGGCAGCTCCAGCTGCTCCAGATGCTGCTGCCAGCTCTGCTGCAGGCGCGCTGCTCTTGACCTTGCCTGGCCCCTGTGCCGCAGTGTCAGCTGAGCTGCGCTTGCCCAGAACATGTGACAAAGCAGGTGCAGTGGTAGGAGGAGCAGGAGGTGGGGCCATGAGGGACGCTGCAGCCGACGCAGCAGCTGTTGCCACGATGGCCACCACTGCCGCATCTTCACTGGACACTGGCCCTGCAAGAATCAAGAACGCACATGACAGTCAGTGCGCCGCATAGTCATATGTAACAGCATACCAGTAACCGCTGAATCAACAGAAAACAGAAGGGAAACGGGCACCTGTGGCAGCAGCAGCAGCCAGGGCAGAGGTAGCAACAGCAGCAGCGGTGGCAGAGGAGTAAATCGCATCTGGAATGCCAGCCCACGCCCACGCGTCAGAATGAAGCTCGTCACTGCTTGCACTGCTGCCATCAGCACCCGCACCCTCTACCACAGGCTCAGCCCTACTGCACTGAGGCGCATCTCCTTGCTGGTTAGTCGCAATAGCCTCAGCAGCAGCACCAGCAGACACAGGAGCTTTACCGCCAGCCTCAGCAGCAGCAGTGGCAGCACCAGCACCAGCAGCCGCAGCCGCAGCCACAGCCTTCGTGACCCTGCCAGCAGCAGTGGCAGCCGCAGGGGTGGCGGCGCCACTGGCCTGACGGCTTGGCCCCAAGGACGGTGTGTGTGGCTTGTGGTGGCGGTGCATGGAGGAGAGGAGGTGCGCCACGTCGGCCTCGAGCGGGCAGCAGAGTGCGGGCGGCACACTGGTGCTGGCGACGGCAGAGCAGAAGACCACCCAGTCCGCTATGCAGTGCGAGTGGAATATGTGGAACTTCTGCTCGCAGACACGCGGGTGCGGACATCGATAAGACACAGAGGGAGATGAATATATGGAATAAGCAATGGAAAAGGGAAAGTGGGGAGCTGGATGCGAAGCGGAAGCAGAAGTGGACGCAGAAATATGAATCACCTTGTGTCGGTTTCTGCTGCTGCAGGCGAATTGTTTCAAACGTGCATTCCACAGGGCGCCAACCACCTGCCCTTCCATCATGGGTAGCTGGCACAGGAAGCACACCCTCGCTGCCGACGCTCCTGCACCCGCTCCCAGGGCTCCTTTCCGCCTCTTCGCTGGCACTGCCGCTGGTGCTTTCCCGTCTCCAGAGGCGTCGGCCCCTGCTACTGCTTCTGGCACTGGAGCTGCAGGTGTGTCGCCAGCTGGGTCTTCTTCAACTCTACCAGCAGCCGCCTCGTGAGGCCCGGGCACGGCAGTAGAGTCGTCGCCACTGCGAGCTCCGCCCGCTTCTTCCGCAACCGCATTGACTTCAGCTGGCTTGTCTGTGCAATGTAGCTCAGCAGACGTGGCGTTCGGTTCCTTCTCCTTGACAGCTTCATCACCATCTCCAGAAACTTCCTTCTCGTTGACGTCTTGCCTTTGCTTCTTAATCTCCTCTGGATGCTCAGCGGGGACATCTGCCAGCAGCGGTAGCTCCTCCTTCTGAATGTGCTTCTCACCAGGGCCAGCATCCGACCATTTCAACAGCTGCTTCTCCCACTTTCCTCGGCGACCAATCAGATTCGTGAATTTGAACAACGCAAGGGCGAAGTCCTCAGGACGGCATGGCTCATCCAATTCTTCTTCTTCTCCTGTTTCTGGAACAATGTCCCGTGCATTCGCCTCATCGCCGGGTGTAACTGCAACATCTTGACCGTTGGCTCTTCTTTGCCGCTTGGAACCACCACCAGCAGACATCGAGGCATCACTGGAATGAGGCGCTTTACGCTTGGAGGAAGGAGCGGAGGTTTTCCCTGCAGCAGCGGAGACGGGCAAATTTCAAGGTGCGAGAACGTTCAACCGGCAGAAAATTATGCGGGTTGTATATGAAGCCGTCGGTCGCAGGGTGAGCGGTAGGCTCACCTTCCCCAACGAGCTTCCACGGCGGCGTCAACTTGGACGTTTTCTCCCAAGGCGGACTCCCGCTGACGCTGGACGGTGGTGAGGTGAGCGGCGTGGCTTCCGCCTGTTTCCGCTTGTGCTTCTTCCCGTGTATATGGTCGATCAGGCTCGCGTCATGGTAAGCCCATACGCTGCATTGAACACCAGAAAAATCGAACTCAGTTACACGCAAAGCCACAGTTCTCCAACTACGAGGAGCGAGAGTGTTCACAGGAGAGAAAATTACGACCGGAAAGGAAGAATGTACGGCGCGGCTTACTCGCACAGAGTGCAGTAGAAAATGATGCGTTTATCGTCCTCCACCACCAGCACCCCTTCTCCCTTGTACAAGCTCTGCAGATGCGATGCAAGCGCTGACGCCAAATTCTTATTCTCAGCAGGCTTCTGAGTCGCTGTTTGCGGAAGCGCAGCCTTTGATTTCTTCTTCCCATCCTGCTTCTCGGCTTGCTTGGCTCCTCCCACCGGCTTCCTGCTACCTTTCATCCTACGGTCGGACAGCGTGCCTCGTAAAATGCCTTTCAATCCTGACCGAGGTGTCGACTGCTTGGAGGCTTCGCCTTCCGCACCTCGTGCGGAAAACATGGCGAGTGCTGATTTCTGAACCATGTGTGAACCTTCGTCAACGATTGGTCTGCAGAAAATACAGCAGACATCAAAGCTGACTAAACTATGTGTGATAAGAACCGTTGATGCGTTGCCACCAGTCCTCGGGCTGAACAACCTACTCGACTGGCCCACTATACAGCGGATATTCGGCGGACAAAAACGAATGATTCTTGTGTGAAGAGAGCTGGGAGGTGAAAGGTTCCAAAAGCGAAGTTGATTCTGTGTCTCTGGGGGCACAGCGGAGCCTGGCTGTCAGAGAACCACACTGAACCAAATGAAACCCTTGTTTTGCCTTGACCAACTCTGCTCTGAGTCGCATCAGGGGCTGTGTGTGTGACGCGCGCTCTCCCTCTTTCGTTTGCCTTGCATTCAGGGATGCCTGCTCGGCCGTCTTTCATGACCAACCACCCCCAGGGCTAGACCTGCCTGACCCGAACAATCGAACCGTCGTGCCTGGCACTGGGAACTGCGTGGTAAGGAATCGTAGCTGTGCGATGCCTTTGCGACAGTTACCACCATCGGAATCTTTGCCAAGAGGGCTCGCGAAAACATAACCGAACCAGGTCAAGGGGCATTCGCCACGTAGGCGGAGGACCACAGCGGATGACGTGGTGTGCGAGGTGGCCCGCCCGGCGATTGGGTTTTTTCACCCAAAGTGGATGGATGGATTTCGCGAATTGGAAATGGACCTCCCTCCCGTGAGCACCCCTTTGCCCTAGACTGATAGGCTAGGTGGATTCTTACAACCACCAGACCAGATTCCTCCACGCCCATTCGACACTAAAAACTGCTTGCGCGTAACAAAACGCTTATCGATACTAGCAGTGCCGAGTCATGCAACTCCTCGTCCTGGTGACGCTTCCTCCTGACTTTCCGCACCAACCTCAATCAACTCCTGCGTTCAATTCCATTGAGGAAATCCGCGGGACTCCATGAACAGAAATGGAGCCCTTCACATTGGTCGCGCTCCAGAGTCCACCACGCCCGATTCTCCGACCACCTTCAATCTTTAGTTTACCAATCGCAATTCATTTTCGAAAATGCCTTCGCGCGGACGATTTTGGACAATTTACTACGCATTCTAAAAAATCTTCACGTCTGCATTCTCTCCATCCTTGCGAATGTAGCGCCACCGTTTTCGCAGCAGCGTCGCGTCAAGGGGGTGATACAATGAAGGAACACGCAGGAGAATGTGGAATCTGGGAACAAAGTCACGAAGCCTTTAAGGAAAAGGCGGGAGCGTGGCAGGATACTCCCGAGGAGGTCTTCGCGAAATCGGGCTGGTCAGGCGTACGTCGCGCGGCCGTCGCAGCGGTGCATCGCTCGTGTGACGCGGCGGAGCGCTGGGAACCGTGGCTTGGCGCGCTGCTGGTGGAGGATTCCAGGCGCAGGTGAGCAGTTGGCGCAGACGCTGGGTAAAGAAACGAAGCTAGGGTTGGGGGGTGCTTTAACCATGAACCATGTCAGGTAGGGACAATAACAGGATGAGGGTGTGTCAGGTCGGGCCAATACCATGACTCATGCATGTTGAGCAACATTGATAGAGGGACAACGTGATGGCTATTGAGAATCCGAAGATTCCTGGAAACAATTTTCCTAATTTCCTCCTTTCATCTTTCTCTGAGCGAACACTCTCCCTTAACCACTCCAGCCGAATGCTGGATGAGCTCGAAGCCGCCCTGACAAGGGCAGGTGCCCCACCGGAGGAGCAAGAAGGGGAGGCGGTGGGCCCGGAACGGATGAGAGTGGCAGACGAGGATTCCGTGGTGGGAATTGGACGGGACGAAGGTAGGGGTGAGGGGGAGGAGGCAAGAGCATCGGAGAGGGGCGGCACGGCTGCAGAGTTTCCTGTGCTGCTCGGTGTGCCGGTGGCAGTGAAGGTGCGAAGCGGCCGTGCAATCATCACCCGCGTATTCCAACACCAGGCACCAAATTCAGCTTGCAAATCAGCCGTTACAGCAGGCTTCTGGATCATGCAAAGCAAGTGATTGCAGGGACAGCATGTGTGCATATGTGTGCAATGGACTGGAATGTCTCCAAGTGAACCTCCCCATGCGTGCGTGGCATCAGGATCTGATCCACGTGGACGGGTTTCCCACCAGAGCAGGCGCTCTGCCAGGCTTCCCTGCACTGGACTCCCTGCTGGGGATGAGCGAGGGCGAGGTGCGTGTGGGAGTAAGATGAGGGAGGGGAGGCGAGACTCTGTAAGGCAAAGGCTGCATGCCAGTGAAAGTCGTCTATCGTACCAGATGGGTGGGCAGATGGAGGCATGCAACGGCCCCTGTCGCTTGGTGTTGCAGTTTTCCAGACATTGTAGGGCCATACCCATACTGTTGTTGCAACCAGGTTATGGCGTTTCTTGCCATCTTCCTTTTTGGGGCTTTTCATTCTCTCTGCCCTTGATCTGCAGATAATCCAACGGCTGAGGTCTGATGGCGCACTCATCCTGGTCAGTCCATTCACATTTCACCCAACCGTGTGAAATTCTGACATTGCACATCCCCTTCCAATGTCTCCTCCTTCCATGGTACAGGTTCACTCACGTATAGGACTTCACCACTCAGTATGTGTTGGCGTTCTCTGTCCTTCTACGTCATACGTACCTTACCCTCCGTTCCCTCACCTCTGCATTGGTTCATTCCCAAAATGATGTTGAACACGTGTATGCATGTTCGGCTGCTCTCCTCCCACCTCCCTCTGTCGTCCGTGGGCCAGGGCAAGGCAGCCATGACAGAGTTTGCCTACCGCCATCCGTCTAGCACACGCAACCCTCTTGCTCCAGTTGAGTGGCATCCTGCCTGAAACCACCATCTGCGAATCTTCACATACCTGAGCCCAGTAGCGCCGTCACTACCACCACACTTCCTTCCATCCCCACTCCCTCACTGTGCCCATTCTCGTCCGCTCTGTCTCCTGTCCTCTCTGCCTCTCCTTCTCCCGCTCGTCATCTCCCACATCTGCTCCCTCGCAGTCCTTCACGCCTGGAGGCTCCAGCAGCGGGTCAGCAGCAGCTGTCGCAGCAGGCATCTGTCCGCTGGCGCTCGGTTAGTCTCCTCCTCTCTCCTCTCTCTTCTCTCCTTCACCTCCTATTCTCTCTTTCACCTCCTCTCCTCTCCTACACGGTACACCCCATCCCCACCTACTCTCATTCCTCATTCCTCCTCTTCTTCCTGCCTTCCCTCTCCTCTGCTGCTGTCTCCCTTCCCCTGACCCCTCTCTGCAGCATCACAGACTTGTGCGTCCATCTCCCGCCCAGCAGCCTTCACAGCCACAGTGGGCTTTAAGCCATCCCACCACTGCCTCCCCGCCTCTGGCTGCGTTTCGGTCAGCAACCCCGCCCAGCCCTCTCCTCTTCTCGCACCCCCGTTCCCCGCCACACCTGCCAAATGCACTGTTGTGATAAACTTCGTGTTCATTTGAACTGCGGCTGATGCTAGCTTGTGTACATGCATGCACTCGTCCACCTCACTCGCATCACCTGCTGCACACTTTCTACAAGGCAAAACACTGTACGACCCACCTTGGAAGCGCATCGCTCGTTATGCCTCCCTGTGCAGCCATCGCCCTCCCTGGACCAGTTTGGAGTCATATCAGCCTCAGTGCGCTGGGCAGCACTCTGTATCTTGACAACCTCATCCCTACCCCCCCCCCCACACCCTCCCCCACGTGCAGCCATCGCCCTCCCTGGACCAGTTTGGAGTCATATCAGCCTCAGTGCGCTGGGCAGCACTCTGTATCTTGACAACCTCATCCCTACCCCCCCCCCACACCCTCCCCCACGTGCAGCCATCGCCCTCCCTGGACCAGTTTGGAGTCATATCAGCCTCGGTGCGCTGGGCAGCACTCTTTGCTCAGGCCGTGCTGCCCCACTGGCGGCCCCCAACCCCGCGTGCGGCAATGCACGGTAAGCTGCACTCGCCTTCTCCCCATCTCCCCTGCCCTCGCCGGTAACCCATGTGCCTGTGCCTTTTCGCTTAGAAGCACCTCTGGTGCAGTGGCTCCTGCAACCACCATCACCGCTGTTGACCGCACTCAACTCAACTCCTCGTCCCTGCTCCCTCTCCTGCACCTCACCTGCCTGTCTTTCTGCCTGGGAACAACCCCTCCAGAGCCCCGCTGTGTGGCAGTCCCCGAGGGGCCGCTGCTGGAGCAGTGCGAGGGGGGAGCAGCGTGGGAGGCGTTTCAGCAGCTGCTGGCGCAGATGAGGGCGAGCAGGTGGGCTGGGTGTGAGGGAAATAGGTGATCTGTACCATACCATACCATTATCCCTTTCACCTCCCTCCTCTCCTGTTGCTTATGCATCCATCCATGCTTGCACTCCTCTCCTCCCATCATCCAGCAGGTGGGCGGGGTTTGAGGGAATTAGGTGATCTGCACCATACCATTATCCCTGTCACCTCCCTCCCTCGTCTCCTGTCGCTTACTTTTGAGAATTCTCAAAAGTAAGATTCACGTAGCATCTATCCATGCTTCCACTCGTCCCATCATCCCCAACATCCCTGCAACGTTTCCCCACTTGCTGCCCTGCCTGGCAGTTATTGGAAGGTGGTGTCGCTGCCCTGCCTTGATGACTTGCAGCGGATCAAAGAGTAGGTTCCACCCATGCCACACCACGCCTGCCACGCCACGCCTGCCATGCCATGCCACGCCTGCCATACCATGCCATGCTATTCTATATTGTACCCCACCAGAATATTGATACACACGCCATGTGACGTGGTGTCACACACAGCGGTATTCCACGCTAACTATCCGTTCCATCACGCTTCAGCCTGCTAAACGCTTCTCCGTGCCACACACGCTTTTCGCCACACGCATAGGAAATTGCTCACGCATTTCCTCCCTCGCCATCGCAGGTCCCACCTGGCTCTCATGGCGTTTGAATATGCCCGCTTCCTGGATTCCCTCCACCTGCCCCACCTGCCATCTCTTGTCTCCCCGCCTGTAAGCACAGCGCACACAGCACACAGCACACCACCCAGCACACTGCACACAGCACACCACCCATCACCAGTGCTACAAAACAAATGCGTGCTGCTGTTATGCTCACCCCACACACGCCATGCCGGTGTGCGCCTTGCAGAATCTCCTGAGCCACAGTCACGGGTGGAGCATGTATGCTGTGCGAGCATTGCAGCATCAGCATCAGCATCAGCATCAGCATCAGCACCAGCACCAGCATCAGCATCAGCATCAGCATCATCATCAGCATCAGCATCGCATCAGCATCAGCATCGCATCAGCATCAGCATCAGCATCAGCATCAGCATATCAGCATCAGCATCAGCATCATATCAGCATCAGCATCAGCATCAGCATCAGCATCAGCATCAGCATCAACATTATCTCGGGCACATTGCAGTGCACCATTCGCAGAGCGTATGTTCACATAGCCTATGTTCACGTACCATGTAGCTCATTCAGTCCATTCATAGCCTATCTGATGGCCTGTGTCCTCCCTCCCTAGCCAGCTCATGCAGCTAATCACGACCGGGCGAGGGGTGACAGAGGAGGAGGCAGCAGCAGGCAGGGCGTCGTGTGTGGCACTACGGCGTCTGCTGCAGCAGCAGCTGAGGCAGGCTGGTGCTGAGGCCTTTATTGCTCCTGCCGCCACCGGCTTCCCTCCTCCCATGCATCAAGGGGGGTCTATCAAAGTTGTATTGCTCTCGTCTCTACAATGCTTGCTGGTACCTCTCCAGCCAGTGACGCGTGTGGTTGTGGTTGCCATGGGTGCCTTGAGGTTGATGTTGCCCCTCTCGTCCCATACGCCCGCACTCGACTCCCCACCAGGCACGACAGGAGACCCCATCATGTCTGTCCCCTGGAGCCATGCGGGTCTGCCCACTGTCACCATGCCCGTCGCCCTGAAAGATTTTTCCATGACTTCAAATGTGCCAGTTATGTGATCATATGATCATACTCCCTCACACCTGCCCCACCAGGCACGACAGGCAACCCCATCATGTCCATCCCCTGGAGCCATGCGGGTCTGCCCACTGTCACCATGCCAGTCGCCCTCACACCTGCTGCTGGTGGTTCACCTGGGAGTGCTGCTGCTGGCAGCTGCACACATGAGGGTGGTACCGCTGATGAGAGCAACAGGGAAACTATCAAGGAGTATCTTGCAATGGGAGTGACGCTGGTTGGGATGTGGAACGAGGATGAGAGATTGCTGGATGTAGCATTGGAGCTTGAACGCTTTCTACATTGCACTTCACCATTCTGAACCCATAAAACCAGTGGCACTACAGTACGTTACATGAACTTCTTATTTCCTTGCTCATACAACGGCAGGGCTGCTTCCCCAAGTAATTTTCCAACAGTAAACAATAACATAGATCGCATCCCCTCTGCAGGTCAGTCCTGCCATCCAACACAGTCCTCCCATCCAACACGGTCTTGCCATTGCAGTTGGAGCTGGGGGAACAAGAGGGAAGGGAAAATAGTGCCATTCGCACCAGCACCAGCAGCAGGGAGTGATTGAAGATGCTCCGGAGGGCTGGTGGCAGCCAGTGAAGCAGCTGGGGGAAGGTATGGGATGGGAGTGACCTCACGAATCACGATGTGCTCCATTGCGCTCGGTTCTGCTCAGGGCCCGTGCTAGGATTTGGGGCACCCTGAGGCCTCAGGGCACCTTTCCAGAATCGTAAAAAATGCCCTGATTTGTCAGGGCAAATTTTCGAAGCCTTCCTGTATGTTCAGGGCTTTTTCAGAAATCAATCCTGACCTGTCAGGGCAAAAAAACAAGTCTTCAGGGTTCAGATTGGTTGGAGGTCAAAGTTAGAGTTGAAGTGTATATTCGCCTGCACGCGGGTGGGTTCGCCGTGCATCACGGCGTGCCTGGCGCTGCGTCCGTGCTCGCCTATGATCCCGTGCAGCGGCTGCTCGCAGTGGGAACACGGTTAGAGAGCTCCGATATAAGCAATAATATAGAGAATGCAGCAGCCCCTGCCAGCGGTAAAGAGCGGTTACAAGCGATGCAGGACTGGCCGGGCATCACGGCTTGCATCATGGCGCGTCTGGCGCTGTTCCATACCTTGAGTATGGAAAGGGGGTTGAGACTTTCAAGGAGTAAGCTAGGCGAGGAAAGGGTTTGGAGGAGTAGGTTTGAGTTCTCAGTGGTTTTGGTCCTGGTGGTGGGGATGCGGTAGATGTGAGGGTGCAGTAAGGAATGGGAGATTACATGGTGGCATGGTGATGTGATGGCATGGCGGCATGGTGGCATTGTGGCATTGTGGCATGATGGCATGATGAAGTGACATCCGGTAGCCTCTCCCCTTCCCAACCCCCCTCCCTCCACCAGCGATGGGCGCATCAAGGTGTTCGGGCATGATGGCATCGAGGCGCTGCTCTGCTCGCCTGCCAAGGCTGCCTGCAAGTTCCTCGAGGTCAGCACCGTTCTGCACCTTCCCGCACCTTACCCCACCTTCTCTACCGCCTCCATGAAGCCCTGTGTTTTCTCAGAGATCACTTCAGCAAGCACTTGTAGGCGCATTCCTTACTCCGTCATCACTGCTTGCTCCACCTCCTCCTTCTCCCCAGCCCGCCTCCTCCACCTCTTCTCCCCCTCTTCTCCGCCCCACCCTTAGGGAAGCTATTATGCTTATTCTCCTAATCGCTTTCGCCTTCCCTCGTTCTCTCTTCGCCTCCCCTTCCCCCCCCAACAGTTCGTATGTAACTCGGAGTACATGGTGCAGGTCACCTTTTTCAACGCCATTGAGGTGCGTGGATGGATGTACATGTGGGTGTGTGCTGTGTGCATGCCTGTGTATGGCCGTGAGTCTGAACGTGTATGCATGCCTTTGTGCAAACTCCGAGTGCACTCTTTTCGCCTGAGTCTGGCTGAGCACCAGATGACAGACTCGCTGCAATGGGACGTCGTCATCACCTCAGTCTCCCCCCCTCCCTGCTCCTTCCCTACCTCCCTCCTCCCTTTTCCCCTGCTTCCTCCTTCGTCCATACCCACCCACTCAGATCTGGAGTCTGGCTGAGCGTCAGATGACAGACTCACTGCAGTGGGACGTCGTCATCACTGCCTTCTCCACCGTGCCCGACACACGCTTCCTGTAACTCACCTTGACACGACCTTGACACGACCTTGACACCACCTTCACACCACCTTGACACCACCTTATATCCTTCTTGTCGCCACCATCACACCACCATCCTCTTTGTCATCACTGCTTTCCTGTAAACCACCTTGACAGCACCTTGACACCACCTTGACACCACCTTGACACCACCTTGACACCACCTTGACACCACCTTGACACCACCTTACATCCTTCCTGTAGGCACTGTCACCCTGTTTTCTCCACCGTCCCCTACACGCGCTTCCTGTAACTGTCTTCGCTTCACACCATCCTTACACCGCCGTGCATCCTTCCTGTAACCATCCTCACACCATCCGTCAGCATCCTTCACGTCTTTTCACCTCACTCCATCGCACCTCACCTGACCCCACCCCACCCTGCTCCACCGCACACCACCCCTTCCCATCCCAGCTACGTGGGCGACGAGAACGGTGTGTTCCACGTGTTGGAGGTGGACGATGGTGGTCGCCTCAACAAACGGCCCTACTCCGTGCCTCCCTACGTCACCATGGGTGAGTGAGGAGCAACGCCACGAGCACTCAGGGAACGAGGCCATGCAGTACCTACCCCTCCCATGGCCTCGTTCCCATGGCCTCGTTCCCATGGCCTCGTTCCCATGGCCTCGTTCCCATGGCCTCGTTCCCATGGCCTCGTTCCCATGGCCTCGTTCCCATGGCCTCGTTCCCATGGCCTCGTTCCCATGGCCTCGTTCCCATGGCCTCGTTCCCATGGCCTCGTTCCCATGGCCTCGTTCCCATGGCCTCGTTCCCATGGCCTCGTTCCCATGGCCTCGTTCCCATGGCCTCGTTCCATGGGTGGCCTCGTTCCCATGGCCTCGTTCCCATGGCCTCGTTCCCATGGCCTCGTTCCCATGGCCTCGTTCCCATGGCCTCGTTCCCATGGCCTCGTTCCCATGGCCTCGTTCCCATGGCCTCGTTCCCATGGCCTCGTTCCCATGGCCTCGTTCCCATGGCCTCGTTCCCATGGCCTCGTTCCCATGGCCTCGTTCCCATGGCCTCGTTCCCATGGCCTCGTTCCCATGGCCTCGTTCCCATGGCCTCGTTCCCATGGCCTCGTTCCCATGGCCTCGTTCCCATGGCCTCGTTCCCATGGCCTCGTTCCCATGGCCTCGTTCCCATGGCCTCGTTCCCATGGCCTCGTTCCCATGGCCTCGTTCCCATGGCCTCGTTCCCATGGCCTCGTTCCCATGGCCTCGTTCCCATGGCCTCGTTCCCATGGCCTCGTTCCCATGGCCTCGTTCCCATGGCCTCGTTCCCATGGCCTCGTTCCCATGGCCTCGTTCCCATGGCCTCGTTCCCATGGCCTCGTTCCCATGGCCTCGTTCCCATGGCCTCGTTCCCATGGCCTCGTTCCCATGGCCTCGTTCCCATGGCCTCGTTCCCATGGCCTCGTTCCATGGGTGGCCTCGTTCCCATGGCCTCGTTCCCATGGCCTCGTTCCCATGGCCTCGTTCCCATGGCCTCGTTCCCATGGCCTCGTTCCCATGGCCTCGTTCCCATGGCCTCGTTCCCATGGCCTCAATCCCATGGCCTCGTTCCCATGGCTTCGTTCCCATGGCTGGCCTCGTTCCCGTGGCCTCGTTCCCATGGCTGGCCTCGTTCCCATGGCCTCGTTCCCATGGCCTCGTTCCCATGGCCTCGTTCCCATGGCCTCGTTCCCATGGCCTCGTTCCCATGGCCTCGTTCCCATGGCCTCGTTCCCATGGCCTCGTTCCCATGGCCTCGTTCCCATGGCCTCGTTCCCATGGCCTCGTTCCCATGGCCTCGTTCCCATGGCCTCGTTCCCATGGCCTCGTTCCCATGGCCTCGTTCCCATGGCCTCGTTCCCATGGCCTCGTTCCCATGGCCTCGTTCCCATGGCCTCGTTCCCATGGCCTCGTTCCCATGGCCTCGTTCCCATGGCCTCGTTCCCATGGCCTCGTTCCCATGGCCTCGTTCCCATGGCCTCAATCCCATGGCCTCGTTCCCATGGCTTCGTTCCCATGGCTGGCCTCGTTCCCATGGCCTCGTTCCCATGGCCTCGTTCCCATGGCCTCGTTCCCATGGCCTCGTTCCCATGGCCTCGTTCCCATGGCCTCGTTCCCATGGCCTCGTTCCCATGGCCTCGTTCCCATGGCCTCGTTCCCATGGCCTCGTTCCCATGGCCTCGTTCCCATGGCCTCGTTCCCATGGCCTCGTTCCCATGGCCTCGTTCCCATGGCCTCGTTCCCATGGCCTCGTTCCCATGGCCTCGTTCCCATGGCCTCGTTCCCATGGCCTCGTTCCCATGGCCTCGTTCCCATGGCCTCGTTCCCATGGCCTCGTTCCCATGGCCTCGTTCCCATGGCCTCAATCCCATGGCCTCGTTCCCATGGCCTCGTTCCCATGGCCTCGTTCCCATGGCCTCGTTCCCATGGCCTCGTTCCCATGGCCTCGTTCCCATGGCCTCGTTCCCATGGCCTCGTTCCCATGGCCTCGTTCCCATGGCCTCGTTCCCATGGCCTCGTTCCCATGGCCTCGTTCCCATGGCCTCGTTCCCATGGCCTCGTTCCCATGGCCTCGTTCCGATGGCTGGCCTCGTTCCCATGGCCTCGTTCCCATGGCCTCGTTCCCATGGCCTCGTTCCCATGGCCTCGTTCCCATGGCCTCGTTCCCATGGCCTCGTTCCCATGGCCTCGTTCCCATGGCCTCGTTCCCATGGCCTCGTTCCCATGGCCTCGTTCCCATGGCCTCGTTCCCATGGCCTCGTTCCCATGGCCTCGTTCCCATGGCCTCGTTCCCATGGCCTCGTTCCCATGGCCTCGTTCCCATGGCCTCGTTCCCATGGCCTCGTTCCCATGGCCTCGTTCCCATGGCCTCGTTCCCATGGCCTCGTTCCCATGGCCTCGTTCCCATGGCCTCGTTCCCATGGCCTCGTTCCCATGGCCTCGTTCCCATGGCCTCGTTCCCATGGCCTCGTTCCCATGGCCTCGCTCCTATGGCCTCGCTCCCATGGCCTCGCTCCCATGGCCTCGCTCCCATGGCCTCGTTCCCGTGGCCTCGTTCCCGTGGCCTCGTTCCCGTGGCCTCGTTCCGGTGGCCTCGTTCCCATGGCCTCGTTCCCATGGCCTCGTTCCCATGGCCTCGTTCCCATGGCCTCGTTCCCATGGCCTCGTTCCCATGGCCTCGTTCCCATGGCCTCGTTCCCATGGCCTCGTTCCCATGGCCTCGTTCCATGGGTGGCCTCGTTCCCATGGCCTCGTTCCCATGGCCTCGTTCCCATGGCCTCGTTCCCATGGCCTCGTTCCCATGGCCTCGTTCCATGGGTGGCCTCGTTCCCATGGCCTCGTTCCCATGGCCTCGTTCCCATGGCCTCGTTCCCATGGCCTCGTTCCCATGGCCTCGTTCCCATGGCCTCGTTCCCATGGCCTCGTTCCCATGGCCTCGTTCCCATGGCCTCGTTCCCATGGCCTCGTTCCCATGGCCTCGTTCCCATGGCCTCGTTCCCATGGCCTCGTTCCCATGGCCTCGTTCCCATGGCCTCGTTCCCATGGCCTCGTTCCCATGGCCTCGTTCCCATGGCCTCGTTCCCATGGCCTCGTTCCCATGGCCTCGTTCCCATGGCCTCGTTCCCATGGCCTCGTTCCCATGGCCTCGTTCCCATGGCCTCGTTCCCATGGCCTCGTTCCCATGGCCTCGTTCCCATGGCCTCGTTCCCATGGCCTCGTTCCCATGGCCTCGTTCCCATGGCCTCGTTCCCATGGCCTCGTTCCCATGGCCTCGTTCCCATGGCCTCGTTCCCATGGCCTCGTTCCCATGGCCTCGTTCCCATGGCCTCGTTCCCATGGCCTCGTTCCCATGGCCTCGTTCCCATGGCCTCGTTCCCATGGCCTCGTTCCCATGGCCTCGTTCCCATGGCCTCGTTCCCATGGCCTCGTTCCCATGGCCTCGTTCCCATGGCCTCGTTCCCATGGCCTCGTTCCCATGGCCTCGTTCCCATGGCCTCGTTCCCATTGTTGGTGGGGCACTGGGATCGTCCCGAGTTGAGTGTGGGAGGGCTACAGGCACGGCCTGGGGGGTAATGGGTGTGCTACCCACCATACAAACATGCCCTTTTAACCCAGTCGGTAGCAGACTGGGCTAACACCCATGGCCTCGTTCCCATGGCTGGCCTCGTTCCCATGGCCTCGTTCCCATGGCCTCGTTCCCATGGCCTCGTTCCCATGGCCTCGTTCCCATGGCCTCGTTCCCATGGCCTCGTTCCCATGGCCTCGTTCCCATGGCCTCGTTCCCATGGCCTCGTTCCCATGGCCTCGTTCCCATGGCCTCGTTCCCATGGCCTCGTTCCCATGGCCTCGTTCCCATGGCCTCGTTCCCATGGCCTCGTTCCCATGGCCTCGTTCCCATGGCCTCGTTCCCATGGCCTCGTTCCCATGGCCTCGTTCCCATGGCCTCGTTCCCATGGCCTCGTTCCCATGGCCTCGTTCCCATTGTTGGTGGGGCACTGGGATCGTCCCGAGTTGAGTGTGGGAGGGCTACAGGCACGGCCTGGGGGGTAATGGGTGTGCTACCCCCCATACAAACATGCCCTTTTAACCCATTTGGTAGCAGACTGGGCCAACAAGAGGTATCAGAGCCAAAAGGTCTCCGGTTCGAATCCCAGTGTGCGCCAAGCGAGCGCCAGTGCCCAAACGAGCCCCAAGTGAGGGGGAGACGACCCCAGTGAGGGGGAGATTGTTGGTGGGGCACTGGGATCGTCCCGAGTTGAGTGTGGGAGGGCTACAGGCACGGCCTGGGGGGTAATGGGTGTGCTACCCACCATACAAACATGCCCTTTTAACCCAGTCGGTAGCAGACTGGGCTAACACCCATGGCCTCGTTCCCATGGCTGGCCTCGTTCCCATGGCTGGCCTCGTTCCCATGGCTGGCCTCGTTCCCATGGCCTCGTTCCCATGGCCTCGTTCCCATGGCCTCGTTCCCATGGCCTCGTTCCCGTGGCTGGCCTCGTTCCCATGGCCTCGTTCCCATGGCCTCGTTCCCATGGCCTCGTTCCCATGGCCTCGTTCCCATGGCCTCGTTCCCATGGCCTCGTTCCCATGGCCTCGTTCCCATGGCCTCGTTCCCATGGCCTCGTTCCCATGGCCTCGTTCCCATGGCCTCGTTCCCATGGCCTCGTTCCCATGGCCTCGTTCCCATGGCCTCGTTCCCATGGCCTCGTTCCCATGGCCTCGTTCCCATGGCCTCGTTCCCATGGCCTCGTTCCCATGGCCTCGTTCCCATGGCCTCGTTCCCATGGCCTCGTTCCCATGGCCTCGTTCCCATGGCCTCGTTCCCATGGCCTCGTTCCCATGGCCTCGTTCCCATGGCCTCGTTCCCATGGCCTCGTTCCCATGGCCTCGTTCCCATGGCCTCGTTCCCATGGCCTCGTTCCCATGGCCTCGTTCCCATGGCCTCGTTCCCATGGCCTCGTTCCCATGGCCTCGTTCCCATGGCCTCGTTCCCATGGCCTCGTTCCCATGGCCTCGTTCCCATGGCCTCGTTCCCATGGCCTCGTTCCCATGGCCTCGTTCCCATGGCCTCGTTCCCATGGCCTCGTTCCCATGGCCTCGTTCCCATGGCCTCGTTCCCATGGCCTCGTTCCCATGGCCTCGTTCCCATGGCCTCCCAGTCCATCACACAGTCCCTCTCTCCCATCCAATACTCTCCTCTCGTCTCACAACACAACCCCTGCAACACAACACAAGCCCTCCACGCCACAAGCCCTCCACGGCACAAGCCGGTCTTCCCATTAACTCCATGTTTACATCCCTGCTCCTCCCAGTAACGTCCTTCTGTCATGGCCCCGTCCCCTTCCCTCCCAACCCAACCTCCCTATCCCGCCCGTGCATCCCTCCCCCCATGCAATGCAGCGGGTCTTGTGAAACAGGAATCCACGCACATGCCAGCCCTGATCGCCATTCTCCCCCAACCAGAAGCCCTCCACACTCGCGTCCTCCTCGCCTACTCCAACTCCCTCGCGCTCCTCTGGGACCTCCATGCCTTCCACTTTCCAATAACGTCCCTCTTTCGCACCCCCATTCCCTCCCCTCCGTATCTCCCCTCCCCTTCCCGCCCTACCCCATGCTGTCCGTCCCAAACCCCCTCCCCTCCCGCCCCTCCCAGCCGGTCTTGTGAAACAGGAATCCACCCACATGCCAGCCCTGATCGCCATCCTCCCGCAACCCGAAGCCCTCCACACGCGCGTCCTCCTCGCCTACTCCAACTCCCTCGCGCTCCTCTGGGACCTCCACGCCCTCCGCGTCCTCGCCACGCGCGGCGGCTCCGAAATGCAGTGCACGCGCCTCTCAGAAGCCGGCGACCGCCTGGCAGACCTCCAAACAGGCAGGCGAAACGTCCCGAAACCCACGGATGAAGACGAGGAGGACGACGAGGAGTGCGATGGGCCCGAGCTGTCGTGCTTGTGCTGGGCTTGTCCGGCGGGATCGGTGTTTGCTGCTGGGTATACCAACGGAGAGATTGCTCTTTGGGGGTTGCCCCACCCGCCGCTGCCCGTGGGAGCGGGAGGAGCAGCGGGAGCGGGAGTGCCGGGGAGTGCCGGGAGTGCCGGGAGGGCCGTCTCCGTTGGGGTCTTTTTCCTCGTCGGTGGTTCCGACGATCTTGGTTTCGCTGTCGTCGTTGTCATCTGGGGGGTTGAGTGTGCCGATCTCGCCGTGCAGTTTGAAGGCGCTCGGCGAGGAGATTACATTGCAGCCGTTGGTCCGGCTGCAGGTGCAGGGCGGGAAGGGCGAACGGTCGGCGATCACTGCGTTGAGATGGTGTGCCGATGCGAGATGAGCAGGGGAGAGAGGAGGAGAAAGAGGAGAACGAGAGGCGGGGGAAAGTGGAGAGAGAGGAGGAGAGAGAGGAGGGGGGAGATGCATGGAGAGGGGAGGAGGGAGGCTGTACGTGTGTGGGGGGGAGATGCCAGGGCTACTGGGGTCAGTGACTGTGGTGCAGCTGGAGGGGTTAGAGGAGGGAATGAGGGAGAAGGGGATGGTGAAGCTGCTGTGGTTTGGGCCCGTGGCTGATGTCGTGGTGGCGCCTAGTGCTCTCGGCAGCACATGTGCCTTCCTCGTGCTCACCTTCCCGAGACAGGTGTGTTCTGTTTTGCAAGCAACTACATTTCCCAAACGGGTATGTTTACTGGGCAGGTATGTTCCAGGGGCTCGTGTGTGCGACCAGTCACAGTCGTATTTTGAGTCAGCTACTCGACTCAAAGCACACTCTACCCTTTTGTACCCCTCTGCACCACTTCCCTCTTCTCTCCACCACTCCTCTCTGCCAGGTCCACCTGTACGACGAGCCAGGCATGGAGCAGCACCTGCCTCTCTCTCACTTCCCGCCCCTTCCCACCCCTTCCCACTCCTTGCCGCCCCTTCCCACTCCTCGCCACCAGGTCCACCTATACGACGAGCCCGGCATGGAGCAGCATCTGTGTGCGCGCTTGCTCTCCCCGTCGCCCTCCTCCCACACGCCCACTCCCCCCGACCCCGTGGCGTTTGAGAACCCGGGCTCGGCGGTTACCACCGGCAGACTCATGCTCGCCCCCTGGGGAACCCACGCCTCTCACGTGCTCTCCCAGGTGAGCCCCCTGTGACATTCTTTGCTAGGGTGCCTCTGAGGTGACTCCAGAGTGATCCCATGCAATGCCGTGGCGTTTGAGATTCCAAGGTCTGCGGTTACCACCGGCAGACTCATGCTCGCCACCTGGGGCAGGCATGCCTCACATGTGCTCTCCCAGGTGAGACTCCGGCACAAAGTGGCCCATGGCGGGGGGCTCATTCGGCCAACAACCAGTCTATATCTCCTCTCCCCCCTCTCCATCCCCTCTCAGCTGCCCCGTGTGTCGCAGACCAGCTGTCCCTCTGCTCTCTCCCACGGCACAAAGTGGCCCGTGGCAGGGGTCTCGTTTGGCCAACAACCAGCCAGCTAATATCTGTCCCTGCCTTCCCCTTCTCCCTGTCTCCCATCCCCCCTTTCTCAGCTGCCCCGTGTGTCGCAGACCCGCTGTCCATCGGCTCTCTCCCACGGCACCAAGTGGCCGATGGTGGGGGGATCATTCCGCCAACAACCAGTGTATAACTGTCCCTGCCTTCCCCCTCTCCCCCCACTCCACCCATTCGCAGCTGCCCCGTGTATCGCAGACCCGCTGTCCCTCTGCTCTCTCCCACGGCACAAAGTGGCCCGTGGCGGGTGGTTCATTCGGCCAGCAGCCAGAGATCTCTCCAGAGGACGGGCTGTGCCTGTACATCTCGGGCCACCGCAACGGCGTCACTCACGTTTCCGATGTCTCGACCCCATTGATCGTTCCCCTGGCATCAGCCCCAGCTCACCTGACCCAGGTAAGAATCACCGATGGTGTCTGACAAGTGTACAGAATCGCCAGCAGCCAGAGATCTCTCCAGAGGACGGGCTGTGCCTGTACATCTCGGGCCACCGCAACGGCGTCACTCACGTTTCCGATGTCTCGACCCCATTGATCGTTCCCCTGGCATCAGCCCCAGCTCACCTGACCCAGGTAAGAATCACCGATGGTGTCTGACAAGTGTACAGAATCGCCAGCAGCCAGAGATCTCTCCAGAGGACGGGCTGTGCCTGTACATCTCAGGCCACCGCAACGGCGTGACCCACGTTTCCGATGTCTCAACACCGCTGATTGTCCCACTGGCCTCGGCTCCTGCTCACCTGAACCAGGTAAGTGGACATATGAAATCACGGTTTGAAGGTTGCCCTTAGAGTGGGCTGTGCATTTATCAGGTAAGTGCTCACTCGAGTTTCAAAAGGTAGGCTGCGGGTGTGATACCTTGTACTCTCTCCGTTCTCTTTTCCCACCCCTTCCCTCATCCTCCACTCCTCACACTCCCCACTCTCACACCAATCACAGGCTGACGATCAGCCGAGCTACACGGCAGTGACAGTGGTGGACTTCTGTGCGGTATCGGCGCTGCTGCTGGTGGGGTATGAGGACGGGCTGGTGGAGTGATGCGATGCCTAGTCCTATCCCTCCTCCCGCCTTCCCCTCCACAACAGGCTGATGATCAGCCGAGCTACACGGCAGTAACAGCGGTGGACTTCTGTGCGGTATCAGCGCTGCTGCTGGTGGGGCATGAGGACGGGCTGGTGGAGTAATAGTTTCCCCTCCCTTCCTTTTGCTTCCCTCCTTCCCGCCTTCCCGCGTCCTTCCTCCTTTCCTCATGCTCCCTGCCCCACCCTTTCTACCCCACCCCATAACAGGCTGACGATCAGCCGAGCTACACGGCTGTGGACTTCTGTGCGGTATCAGCACTACTGCTGGTGGGGCATGAGGACGGGCTGGTGGAGCTGTTTGAGCTGAGCACGCGCAGGAGAACGCTGTGCTGCCAGATCATCACTGAGAGGGGCGGATACGAGCAGGGTGAGTGGTGAATGTGTGGATGGATGGATGGGTGGGGTATGTGCATTGTGTGCTTGCAGGGCATGGGGGAGAGAGACGGGCTGCTGGTGGGGCATGAGGACGGGCTGGTGGAGCTGTATGAGCTGAGCACGCGCAGGAGAACGCTGTGCTGCCAGATCATCACTGAGAGGGGCGGCTATGAGAAAGGTGTGTGGAGAGTGGGGAGGGGGGACTTGGCTGGGTGGGTGCATGGGGTGGGTTATGCGCACTGGTGGTGAAAGTGGGGGAGGGAAGTTTGCAAAAAATGGGCCAATCTACTGTCCCACAGAGCCTCTGTCATGCCTTCACATCCCTTCTTACCACGTCCACACACCAGCCACTCCATCTGGGTGCGAAGAAGGCTTTCAGATGGTGGCCCAGTTCCACCAGCACCGCGCCAAGGTGCGCAGCGTGGCCCTAGAGCCACGGGCGTGGGGCGCCTAGCAATAGGGGATGACAACGAGCGTGGGCCGGCTGGCCATCGGTGTGCTGGGCTCTCACCCCCATTCCCACCCCTCCTCACCCCTTCTTACCGTATCGTACACCAGCCACTCCGTCTGAGTGCGAAGAAGGTTTTCAGATGGTGGCTCAGTTCCACCAGCACCGCGCCAAGGTGCGCAGCGTGGCCCTTGCAACCGGCGTGGGGCGGCTAGCGATAGGGGACGACAACGGCATGATGTCGCTCATCAACCTCGACACCTTCACCCTCATCTGCTACCGGGAACTCCACCCCGGGTCCTCCTCCTCCCCCATCTCCGCCACTGTCTTCGCCGCCCTCCCCGTCCCTTCCACCGATTCCTCCTCCTCCTTCTCTTCCTCTTCCTCCTCTACTTCTTCCTCCCTCGCCTCGGCGTCGTTCCCCGCTTCCGCCTCTGCCTCTGTCTACTGACTAGGCCACTTCTGGATGGTTATAATGAATGAGTGGTCTACAACCTTGCGGAACTCTCCCCCCCCACCCCCCCCCCCCCCAAAACAAAAAACGCGTCAGGGCAGGCCTCGTCATTCACCCTGACGCTACAGGGAAGAACACTACGGCCATTCTGAATGTTCAGGGCATTTCACATAACAACATCCTGAGACCTCAGGGTAAAAATTTACACTATTCTGAAATGACAGGGCAAATTTAAAACTGCATCCTACAGAACCAGAATTTGAAGCTGGTTGTAGTCTCTAGTTGGAGATCGCTTCCTTGTATGTGTGAAATGTTATATTATATATATATTATTTTATCTTGACCTGACACAGATCAGCGGATGAGTAGACTCAGACTCAGATCCAAGCACGATTGTAATCGTCGACGAGCTATTTCTTCCTAGTTCTTGGCCCGCGGGTTTTAACTCTCAAGTTCTCCACGAGCAATGTCTCTTGCTTGGCCATCGCACTCTTGCTAAACTCATCAGCCGCACGCTTCTTACATGAAGATTAAGTCTTAGCATTTCCAGCGTCGTTTACTCCTTTATCTTCTTTAGCACTTCTTATTTTTCTTGAAACTTCTTAGCAATAGCAGGGAGGGAAAGCAACAGCTTGGTACGTCGTTTGCTCCTCGCGCCTTACGACGTCACGGCTTGGCAAGATAAGCAACAGCTGATGTATCTTGCCTTTTCCGAAATTAATCTGTCTCGTCTAAAATTTTATAAGTTCTAACGTCTGTTCGGCGAGTTTCACTGCTGGTGTCAGCAAGGTTGCGCGTGTGACTTGTTTTCGCGAACAGAGTCGATGCTGGGATTGGCGAGCGAGGTGATGGCGGCGCTAGGGTTGGCGCATCTGCTGGTGGGGCGGTCGCACGAGTGCAAGTTCCCGCCGTCGCTGCTCGCGCTGCCGTGCGTGTCGTCGCCCGCGCTGGGGCCGGATCTTGAGCAGCAGAGCTGTGCGACGGTGCACGATAGGCTGAGTCGCAGAGCTGTGCGACAATGCGCGACAGGGTGGTTTCAGCAGCTGTTGGCACAGATGAGAGCGAGCGGGTGGGCGGGGGTGTGAGGGGAGCAAGTGGGTGACAGTGTGAGGGAGCATGTGGGCGGGGGTATGAGGGAAACAGATGGGCTGTAACTTGCGATCATCCTTATCATTTCCCTCGTCTCCTGTCAGTTATGCTTTCATCCATGCTTCCACCCCTCCTGTCATCCAGCCATGCCACGCCACGCCTGCTGTACCATGCCATGCCTTTCTATGCTGTACCCCACACCAAAGTAATGATACACACGCCATGTGAAGTGGTGTCAGCAGTATTCCACCCGAACTATACGTACCATCACGCTTCCGCCTGCTACCGCCTCTCTGTGCCGCACGGATACGAAGAGGCTCACTGCAGCACGGTTCCCACCACTCCTGCCAGTAAGGGGTGCAGTTGCTATGACTTCCTTCAACTCCCTTTTCCCCTCATACGCCCTCCTTACCACCAGGCACGACAGGAGACCCCATCATGGCTATCCCCTGGAGCCATGCGGGTCTGCCCACTGTCACCATGCCAGTCGCCCTCACACCTGCTGCAGGCGCTTCACCCAGGAGTGCTCCTGCTGGCAGCTGTAACCACTCCGCTGCCGCCTTGACACATGAGGGTGGTACTGTGCATGAGTGCAGCAGGGAGTGCAAGAGGGAGTATCTTCCAGTGGGAGTCATGATTGCTGGGATGTGGAACGAGGATGAACGGCTCTTGGATGTTGCAATGGAGCTTGAACAATTTCTTAGTGGCACTTCACCATTATGAACGCATGCGTGCAGTAATAATTTATGGAATCGTTATTTGCTTGCTCATACAACTGTAGGGCTGCTTTCTCAACCTTCTCTGCATCAATAACGGGGATTGCCTCCCCCCTGCAGGTCATTCCTGCCATCCTACAGAGGCGCGCCAAGCCTCCACACACCCGCCAGTCAGGTGTGTGTACGCCGTCCCTTCGTACTTGACCTCAATCTTCAGGTTCTCCCCTCCTTGGCCCACTAGACCATTGGCATTAGAGCCAGAGAGGGATGAACAGGGAGGAGTGTCACCCACACCAGCATCACCAGCAGGGTTGGTGGCATCAGCTGCGCCTTCAGAGCACTCTGTTGCAGTTCTGTGCGGTTGGAAGCGGTGCGCATGGAGCATCTCCAGCATGATCTCAGCAGAGTCAACAAGGGTGGGACCTGAGTTGTTGAAGTATCGGTCCCCATCCGCCACAAACACCGCATCCCTCTGCACCGCTCTCAACCGGTTCCACTGCGGCAGATCCTCAGAGGTGAGAAGCTCTTTCAGAATGGCCTCCCTGGAAACGCCGCAGCACATGGTGATGATGACATCTGGATCGAGAGAGACAAGGGTCTCGAACGAAAGTATGGTGGTGCGTTCGCCAGGCTGACAGGATCGAGAGGGAGGGATGGGAGGTGCGACAGGGTTTGGGACACAGGGATGAGGGGGAGTGGAATGAGCAGGAGGCTGCAGCACATGGTGACGAAATCCTAGGCTGATAGGGGTGAGAGGGAGGGGTGGGGAACGGCGAATGTGCGGGTTGCGCTGAGGGAAAGGGAGTGAATGGTAGGGGATGGCGGAGTGAATGGTAGGGACTAAGTGTGGGAGATGTACTGGGAAAGGGAGCAAAAGGTAGAAGGGAAGGCTACAGCCACCCTTCACCCCCCTCACCCGTTTTCCCCATACCACCCCTCCCGTTTCCTGGAGCCCATCCCCTACCTGCGCCCTCCCCACTACAACCTCCCCCACATCTCACCTTCCCAGAAAGGCTCTCCCCGCCCGCGCACGCGACTATCTCGGGCACCCAGTACCCCGCACCCATCAGCGGCCGCACCCACTGCAGACACACCACGCGCGGGCGCGCGCACGCCCCCTCCGCGCCCCGCGGAACCTGCGCGCGCACTCGCGCCCAGCGCGCCTGTAAATTTCCCACGAGCGCGCGGCCCTTGTCATTGTGCCCGACTGCCGCGGCGATTTGGAGAATATTGTCCCACACGTCGGACGCGCTCATTGGTCGCAACGACACCACGTGGCACGCGCGCCCCGCGCCATCGCGCTGCGCGAAGTATTCTGCGCACGCCGCCTGGAGGTCCGATGAAGTCACGGCGCACACGTCGCACGCGTCCTGCGTTATAATCACATCCGGCTGCAGCCGCCGAATCGCCTCCACGTCCACGTGGTACCGCGACAGGCCCTTGCGCACGCGCTCCGAAAGCTGCGGTTCGGTGAGGAGGCGGGGAAGAGAAGGGTTTGGGAGACAACTCGATTGCACATGCGCTAAAACAGGAAACGGACTGGAAACGTTCGAAATGCGCAGCTCTGCGACTCTCCCTGTCGCGCATTGTCGCACTGCTCTGCGACTCACCCTGTCGTGCACCGTCGCACAGCTCTGCTGCTCGAGATCCGGCCCCAGCGCGGGCGACGACACGCACGGCAGCTCGAGCAGCGACGGCGGGAACTTGCACTCGTGCGACCGCCCCACCAGCAGATGCGCCAGACTTAGCGCCGCCATCACCTCGCTCGCCGCTCCCAGCAGCGACACCACCCGCAGCGCCCTGCCCGTGTCTGTCTGACCCTCCCTATCGCTATCGTTCGCCATCGTTCTGCTGCCGCCTTCGTGGTGTTACTCGCGCTCACGAACCGTTACGAGCCAGCACGGAAACAGAGGCTTAAAGACTTCGATGGGAGAAGTCAGTGATGCTAAGTCGAACGGCGGCCACGATCTAAGAGCGCCCTGTCCGTGCGACACGGCTATGGAGAACTGTGATCAGGTGTGTCGTGTGGTCTGGAGAAACTCCATAGGAAAGGCATATCACAGTTGGGATTTGCGCCACCTCAAGCTCCACCCGAATTCATGGGAATTGTGTTTTCGCGGATTCGGACGTGGCGCTGCGGGATGATGACTGCATAAAGCAAGGTGCAATGCAGTGGAGAGCAATTGTGAGAACTTCAGGTACTGATTATTTGCAACAGAAACCACCGTAGATACGTACTTGGTGTAATTTGGTACAAAACGGTGCAATCAATTGCGACGCTAAAATATACAGGTTGTACAATGATCAGGTTGTAATATACAGCACATCAAGAATGTTTTAATTCGTACGTGTATCTTGTTTCTCAGCCTTCAAGCGGACTTCTTTGCAGCGAAACTCCCCACCCCATTCGACTTGCCTCAACTGCTGCCGCATCCTCTCCCCACCTCACCCCACCGCCATTACGCACCTCTCTTCCTTCCCTATCCCCGTTCCTGCTCCGCGCCTCCCCTCCACGGCGCGACACCGTTGGGAAATCTTAACAAATAAGCTTATATATCTTTTGCCGCAACTGCGCTTGGTAATCGCATTTTCGACGACCGTCTCTCTGCGATTGTGCTGCGGGGTAGGGGGTTTAAGCCTCGACTCGAATCGCACGTCCACATTTCGCCAACCCTGTTCTCGGCGCTTTTAGTAAGCTCGGCGCATCATGCGGCCACCGCGCGGAGGAGGATTTAGGGGGAGGGGTGGCGGAGGATTCGGCGGGCGCGGCGGGGGATTTGGCGGAAGAGGCGGCGGGCGAGGCGGCTTTCAACGGGATGAGGGGCCGCCGTCCCACGTCGTGGGTAAGCAGTGACCTGTTTGGGGGTGGGAGAGGGGGAACTGATTACATTGACTTCGTCAAGCCAAGTCTTTGAGGCGCCTCAAAGGGCGGCGGGCCACGAAAAACGTGCAATAAGCCGATTCCGGGAGAGGTCTGATTACAGTTGTGGGGGAGGTCTGATTTCATTGATTTCGTCGAGCCAACTCGCAGTTGTGGGGAGGAGAGGAAAAGGGGGAAAAGGGGAGGGGAGAGGGAGAAGTTGCAGAGGGGGTGTGCAAAAAGAGAATGTAGGAAGCGGGGTTTTCGGGGTGCCCGGTAGTTGCCGCTGTTCCCACTCCTTGCCGCTCTCTCTCTCTTAAGCCCTTCGTCCCCAATGCGCCGTTCCCGCCTCCTCTGCGTCCTTGTCCTCTGTGCCTCTTCTCTGCCCCCTCTCCTTGGGGACCGTATCCCCGTGCATTGCGCTCATTCCCGTGTGCCCCTCCCGGGCCCCGCTCCCCTGTGCCCCTCCCATGGACCGCTCCAGGGGTTTCGTTCATTCATGCACGCGTGCGAGGGCAAGGCGGTTTGATTATGATCCTTGACCCTCACTTCCTGCGCCCTTTTCCTGCGCCCCTCTCCTCCCCCGCTGCGCTCGTCCCGTGCGGCCCTCCCCTGCGCTCCTCCCTCCCCCTCCCCTCTCCCCCGGCCTTCCCCCCCATCCGTCCCCCCTGCTCGTACCTTTGGCAGAGGTGTCGACGTTCATGCACGCGTGCGAGGGCGAGGCGGTGACGCGGCTGACGGTGAGCGAGAAGGTGCCGTACTTCAACGCGCCCATCTACCTCGAGAACAAGACGCAGATCGGCAAGGTCGAGGAGATCTTCGGCCCCATCAATGAACCGGTCAGTGCGGTGAAGAGGGGTTAAGTGCGGTTGGATGGGGTTGAGTGTGGTTGGATGGGGTTGAGTGCGCTTGGATAGGGTTGGATGAGGATGGGTGCGGTTGGATGGGGCTGAGTGCCGCAACAAGGTGCCGTGCTCTGATGTGCCCATCTTCCTCGAAAACAAGATGCAATAGTTCCGCCACCCCCCCTTCTCGTCCCCCTTTCATGCAGTACTTTTTAATTAACATGCAGCTTTCTACTTGCCTCTCCCCTTCCTCACCACGTCATTTTGCCCCCTCTTCCCCCCTGTTGCACTGCTTCCCATCTTCCCCCTCGCCCCCCTCCCCCCCTTCCTTTCCACCGCGTGCAGTATTTTTCGATAAAGATGCAGGAGGGCGTGGTGGCGACGTCCTACTCGCCGGGGGACAAGTTCTTCATCGACCCCATGAAGCTGCTGCCGCTGCAGCGCTTCCTGCCGCAGCCCAAGTGAGTACAGTGGGATTGAGTGCGGTGCTGGGTGGTGTGAATGGGTGGTGGCGACGTCCTACTCGCTGGGGGACAAGTTCTTCATCGACCCCATGTGGCTGCTACCTTGTGCACACCATCGCATATGGAACGCCGCTGCTCTGGGGGGCTGTGAGGAAGAGGCGCCGCTGCTCTGGGGGGCTGTGAGGAAGAGGCGCCGCTGCTCTGGGGGGTTGTGACGGAGAGGCGCCGCTGCTCTTGGGGAATGTGAGGGAGAGGCGCCGCTGCTCTGGGGGGTTGTGAGGGCGAGGAGACAAGGAGAAGACATAAGGACAAGGAAAAAGGGACGAGGAAAGGAGGGAAAAGAAAAAGGGACGCGGGGAGAAGGGATGGGCAAAGGCAACAACATGAAAATGACACGTCAACCAGAGAAAATGACAAGAGGGTGGGAGGGAAAACGCTTCCCTGAACCTCCACTCCCAGTAAACACTTCAGAAGGGGAAAATCGCAGTGAGTGCAGTACGGAGAGCAATCAGGCAGTTGGCAGATAGGGCAGAGGGCATAGGGCAGGGCAGAGGGCAGAGGGTAGAGGGCAGAGGGAAGGCAATGAACTGGAAATGAGTGCAACCGAAAGCGCAGCAAGGAATGGAGCATTGGAGTCAAATATGGGATATAAGCAGGTCAAAGTGGCCAGTAGAGCAGAAGCAGTAGAGAGCAAGAGTGAGAAACTCGATACTTGAGTGGTGGGAGGGGGGCGGACGGAAAACGGGGAAGGCGCATGGCGACAGTGGCCCACGGCACTAGAGCAGCGAGCTGAGCCAGCGAGGGGGGACTGGGGGACGCACGCATGGCATGAATGCACTCCCTCTCCACTACTCTATCCCACCACTCCCACTACACTGCACTCTACATGAGCTCTGCTGCCATAGCACCACGGACCACCACCACCATGCGCCAAGAGACAAACATGGCTTGAGAATTTCCAAAAATGAAAGAGACGGATGGGAAGCGATGGTGGATGGCGGGTGCGTAGCGGAAACTTAGCTAAGGAGAAGCGTCGAGGCTGAGAGTGACTCGACCAAGGCAGCAGCAGCAAGCAGCAGCTTTGCCGTCCCGCACCCCGTCGCACGCAGCAAGTCTCTGTTCTGCACACCGTCGCCGTCGCGCAGAAGAAGGATCAGCCTCGGGAAGAGGTCAGTCAATAAATTCTGAATGAGTGCAGCAGAAAGCACAGCAAGGAACAGGGTAACATTGGAGGCAGAAACTCAGATGTGGGAAGAAAGCAGGTCAAGGTGGGCAATAGAGCAGAAGCAGTGGAAAGCAAGACTGAGAAACTCGAAACTTAAACGTAAGCGAAATTTAGTGAGTGAGGGGGGAATGCGTCCCACTGCAGCACTTCCTGCCGCAGCCCAAGTGAGTGCAGGGGGGTTGAGTGCGGTGCTGGGTGGTGGGAATGTCGACCCCATGAAAGCTGCTGCCGCTGCAGCGCTTCCTGCCGCAGCCCAAGTGAGTGTAGGGGGATTGAGTGCGGTGCTGGGTGGTAGGAATGGGTGGTGGCAATGTCGACCCTATGAAGCTGCTGCCGCTGCAGCGCTTCCTGCCGCAGCCCAAGTGAGTGCAGGGGGGTTGAGTGCGGTGCTGGGTGGTGGGAATGTCGACCCCATGAAAGCTGCTGCCGCTGCAGCGCTTCCTGCCGCAGCCCAAGTGAGTGTAGGGGGATTGAGTGCGGTGCTGGGGGGTAGGAATGGGTGGTGGCAATGTCGACCCTATGAAGCTGCTGCCGCTGCAGCGCTTCCTGCCGCAGCCCAAGTGAGTGCAGGGGGGTTGAGTGCGGTGCTGGGTGGTGGGAATGTCGACCCCATGAAAGCTGCTGCCGCTGCAGCGCTTCCTGCCGCAGCCCAAGTGAGTGTAGGGGGATTGAGTGCGGTGCTGGGGGGTAGGAATGGGTGGTGGCAATGTCGACCCTATGAAGCTGCTGCCGCTGCAGCGCTTCCTGCCGCAGCCCAAGTGAGTGTAGAGGGATCGAGTGCGGTGCTGGTTGGTGGGAATGTGTGGTGCACTGTGGGTTGAGGTGCTGCGTGGTGTTTCTCATGCTTTTTTCAGGAAACGTGCTTCAACCAAGTTCTGTTCCTTTCCCTGTCTCATTTCATCCCCTGTGCTTCTCCATCCCTCCTTCCTTCCCCATCATCTGTCTCACTTTGTGTAACCCCCACCTCTTCCACCCGTTCTGTCTTGTCTTGCCCCATTCCGCTCCTTCTCATGAGTGCAGGGGTGCCAGTGCAGGGGGGAGAGGGGGCTTTGGAGGGCGGGGAGGTAGGGGAGGGCGTGGAGGGGGGCGAGGGGGATTCAGGGGAGGGGGAAGGGGTGGAGGAGGTGGGTTCAGGGGGAGAGGGGGAGGGGGAGGGTTCCGGGGTGGCGGAGGGGGATTCAGGGGGAGGGGTGGGGGTTTCCGTGGTGGTCGTTTCTAGGGTGGCCTTTTCATGTGTGCATGTATTCAGTAAAGATTTTGGGTGTAGCCGCATGTGCATACACCATGGGCGGATCAAAATCTCCACTGTCCATGTTTCTTAGTAAACTCAAATGCAAACTTACCTATGTTATTACTGTGTACCAAAGAACCACTTTGTCGTGATTTGGATAATCGGTGTAGGGACTTCACGTAGGGGTAACGCTGTTGTTCACATGAGTTCGACATAAGCGCACAGCATCCCATCATCACATGACATGACAGGATCGTTTTTACTGTCCTGACTCCAATTCGTAGCACGCCTCCACCCTTCCCCTCCATCCTGTTCATCAGCTCACCGCAAAGCACGCTCACAGCGCCAGTTCAACCAAGCGGCCTTTCCTCGCGCCGCCGCAGCCGCGTCAGTAGCACCCTCGCCGTCACGCGCGCCTGAACTCGTCCTTCACGCCGCGCGCGCGTGACGATTTTCAAGGCGCCTCGAAATTCGTCTTATCGCGCGACGCCGTCCCGCCCGCCGCCATGGACGCTCCCCCCTCCCCCTCCAACGCGTCCGTTCCGCGTTTCCTCTTCGTTTCCCCCTCCGCCTCCCACCGCGATCACCCGCGCGGACCCCCTTCCCCGCCCTCCCCCTCCGCCACCGCAGCCTTTCTGCGCTTCTCCCCTTCCCGCTTCTCCCCCGCCCGCTCCATCGGTGCGCGCAGGTTGCGCTGTCTGTCCGCGCGGGGAATTGGCGCGGGGGAAGAGGAGGACGCGGAGGAGCAGGAGGGGAGCGACGAGTACGGGGACGATGGCGGAAGCATGGGGGGAGAAGATGGCTTGCGGAGAGACGGGGGAGATGATGAATATGCGGACTATTATGCAAGTGGGCGGGTTAATTCGCAATCACACCGCACGCGTAGTCACTCCCAGGGCTTCAGTATACCTTCCGCGCAGCAAGCGCGCAGCAGCAAATCGGTAGGCGACACGTCAGCAGATCGGGAGGACTCTGACGAATATAACCAGCCCGGTCGAGGCGACGCTGATCCCGAACGTGAAGCGGAGGCTCGGGAAGCAGCAGGGCTGGGTTTGGGGGAGGAGGAGTGGCTGGGTTTGTCGGGACATGGGGGAGGCGGCAGCGGGGGAGACGGAAGGGGTAGCGGCGGCAGCAGGGGAGGCGGAAGCGGGGAGGGCGGAAGCGGGGGAGGCGGGGGAGCGCGGGTGGCGGTGGAGGTGGCGCTGGAGAGCCGCTCGCTGGCCAACCAGCTGCTGCGCGCCGATGAGGAGGGCCGCCTGCGCTGCAAGTTCGTCGCGCCCGGGGGAAGGGAGGGGCGCAGAGGGTTGGCGGGTATAGGGGTTGAGGGCTTTACGAGGAAGAAGGGTTTCGGAGGGAAGAGGGGTTTACGCAGGAGAGAGGGGTTTATGGGACATGGAGTGTTAAAAGGAAGCTTTATCTTGAGTTCGGCTGTGCCCAGGCTTGGTGCGTGAAGGTGTAAGGAGAGGTAGGTTGGAGAGTTCGTAAGGGTAGCGTTACCCCACTATGACACCCGCTCACATATTTTGTGTGTGTATGTGTGCTTGGGCACGTGTGTATGTGTGTATGTGTGTGTGTGTGTGTGTGCATGTGTGTGTGTGTGTGCGCAGGCTTGCAGCGCAGCGGTGGCCCCAGGACGTTGATGTCTTTCAGAAGATTGACGAGTACTACTATAAGGGGTATGCCTACAATTATATCACTGGCTCCGAACACTTGGGTTTCCAAAGCCGTTTGACCATAATGTATTAAGGCTCTGTCTCCTTCGCCCTCCCTAATCAATTCAGGGTGGCTGTTCATGTGCACTGTCACTGTGTGCCGGCTGACCACCGTGTGTCACCATGCCCCCCATGTGCCCCCCGTCCCCCCTGTGCTCCCTATTCCCCCCCCCCCCCCCGCCCCCCCCTCTATGCCTGCATGTCCACAGCACACTACTGGAGTCGGACGTGAGAGCTGTCACCTCCCCTTCTGCCGTGCAGGTATCCCGCCCACACTTCCTTCCTCCCTCACCACCGCACACCTTCTACCTGCCCCACCCTACGCCTCCTCCTTCCATCGCCGCACGGCGCCCATGCCGTCTATCCTCTCTCCTCGTCCCCTCACTGTCGCGACTTCTCACTCCCACACTACCCCTCTCTGCATCAGCTCCCCGTTTCCCAACCCTCGCTCCCACCATCTGTTTATTACTCAAGTTTTTTTCCTCCTAAACTGTAAAACTTAAAGCCCGACATTCATTCTTTTAGGTTCAAACTTACCATCCGTGTGCGTCTCAACCCCGATTGCTCTCTTCCTCCCCCCCCCACGCCCCTCTCCCAATCCCTTCCAGGACATGTGTCGTTTCCTCGCCGCCTCTGCTGGCCTGCAGGCAGAAGAGCCACCAGCTGTGCCTGCAGGCCACAAGGGCAGGGGGACGGGCAGGGGGACGGGGGAGGAGGAGGGGGGCGGCAGGGCAGAAAGAGGGGGGAGGGGCAGAGGGAGAGGGAGAGGGAGAGGGAGAGGGAGAGGGAGAGGGAGAGGGCAGGGGGTGACTGGAAGGGGAGAGCAGTGTGAG